CCACCCGACCGTATAACCCCATGCCGTCAGAGATTGCTGACTTTGCCCCGCATGAGCCGTGCCCCCTTTCTTTGGCAGCGTTCCTCGCTTGCCTGCGAACTGCAAGGCGTGGGGCTGCTGCGGGACCCTCCGGCGCCACTGCTGAGCACCTCCGCATCCTGCTGGATGACGAGGTCGATAGCCAACTGCTCCACTGCGCCGCGCAACGTTTGGCGCAGGCCGATGTGCCGGATGCAGCCCTGGCGGCCATTCGGGTTGGCAGAATTGTCGCTTTACAAAAGCCGGATGCACGGGGCATTCGCGCGCTGGTTGTCGGAGATGTCCTTCGCCGTTTTTTTTTTTTTTTTTTTCGCGCGCCTTTTTCCGCAGCCTGTCATAGCGGGGGTCGGGGTCGGGAGGGAGGGGCCTCACCGCCGCGGCGGCACGCGGCTGGCGGGCGGGGGGCGATCCCAGCGACCATCGGCCAGGACCTCGTGCAGCTCAGGCGCGGCATCATCGCCGTTGCTCTCACCTGCAAGGGGCAGCTCGAGCAAGGAAGATGCGAACGCGCGCTGGGCCGCAACGGCCAGGAGCGCCGCCCATCGCGCCACCCAGGCGGCCTGAGCCGCCGGTCGGAGGTGCGCTGGGATGGTGGCGGCTCGGTGGCGGGCCAGGAGGCGCAGGAAGGTGGCTGCTTCCGTGCCAAAGCGCCCACCCACTTCCAGGCCAATGACGACCAGGCGGCACCGCCGGGCACGGAGGAGCTCGGGGTACGTGCCATGTCGCTTGCGCCGCGCTGCTGCGGTGACAGAGCGCCCCAGCTCAACATCAGCCCGCGGGTGGGGCTCGCCCGTACGTGTGAGCGGGGAGACGAGCGTGGCGTCAACCGCGAGCTGCGAGCCGTGCCAAAGGGACAAGCCGTTGGCCACGACTTCGATGCGCCTGTCATCTGCGACAGGCACGTCGATGTTCATGTCGGCAACGCGGACGTTGCGAGCCACACGTGCACCGGCTTCGCGGCAAACCCGCGCAACGGCGCGCTCAAGTGGCCCTGCACGCGCGGCGAGCACGCCGCTGGTAGCGCACGCGGCACGGTGGTCCCCGAAAGTGTCGAGCCTGCCACGACAGCTGCACGTGCGGGGGGCGAGTGGCAGGGGCAGGCGCAGGCGCCGCAGGAGCAGAATGCGGAACTGCGCATTCGGAATGGACACGGCCTCGTGCGTGGGCGCGACGGTGATGGCTCGGGCAGAGTGTGGCCCAGCCTGCGACAGCAGCAGCGCACGGGACGCAAGGGTTGGTCGGGAGAACCCTCGCGCAGGCCTTCGCCCCACACCTTGAGCGCGCCTGCCTCCCCCACCAATACGGGCTAAGCACGCGAGCCGGCAGTGAGGCCCTTCCGCGTGTCCTGCGGGCTGCCACGGAGGTCGACCCGCGTGCAACCATCTTGTCTGTGGACGCCAGTGGTGCCTACGACCACGTGTCCCGGCAGGCCATGCTGCAGGGCCTCCTCGCGCGGCCTGAGCTCCACCCGCTTCTCCCCTACGCCCGCAAGTTCTATGGCTCTGCCAGCTCCTACACGTGGGTTGATGGGCAGGGGACCTCCCACGCCGTCGCGCAGGGCGAGGGTGGCGAACAGGGAGACCCGCTGATGCCAGCGCTGTACTCGCTGGCACAGCACCCGGCACTCCAGGAGGTGCAGGAACAGCTGCGGGATGGCGAGGCGATCTTCGCGTATCTCGACGACACACGTATATCATCGCCCTGCCGGAGCGGACACGCGAACTCTACGAGGCGTACAGACGTGCGCTGTGGGCGCATTCACGTGTGGAACTCAACAGTCGCAAGACACGTGTGTGGAACGCGGCAGGCGAGGAACCGCCTGGGCTGTCAGCGTTGCAGGGGGACGCTGACACCGCAATCTGGGTGGGGGATTGGGCGCTCCCGCCGCAGCAGCAAGGGCTCACGGTCCTTGGCACCCCCTTGGGCAGCGACGAATACGTGCGTCTGCGGCTCGCGCAAAAGCGCGAGGAGCACGATCGCCTGCTCCAACGAGTCCCGCTCGTGAAGGACTTGCAGGCTGCCTGGTTGCTGCTGCACTACTGCGCGGCCCCGCGGGCCAACTACCTCCTTCGCGCTCTGCCGCCCGCCGCGACGGCCGAGTATGCTGCCTCTCACGACTCCGCTGTGACTCGCTGCCTCGCCACGCTCCTGGGCCATGCGGACGCACCGCTGCCCCCCCAGTCGGAGCGAGCGGCACACTTGCCACTACGCTTTGGTGGCTTGGGCTTGCGAGAGGCCACGGCGGACCGCCATGCTGCGTACTGGGCCTCCTGGATGGACAGCCTCCCCGTCATCCAGGCGCGCTTGCCCTCGGCAGCTAACCGCTTGCTGCTTTCCCTCCGCGCGCAGGAGGCCGGCCCCTTGCCCTCCATACTCGCCGCCACACAAGCCGCAGCGTACCTTGCTGGACAGGGCTACGCAGTGCCGGCGTGGGATGACGCGCACTCTGCCCCACCTGGTCCGTCTTCCCGCAACGACGAACCAGCCGGGACCCTCCGGGGCTGGCAGCGTGGGGCCGCCCATGCTTGCGATGAGCGCGCGCTTGAGACGCACCTTGCTGATCTTTCACCTGCGTCCCGAGCGCTGCTGCTGTCACAAGCTGGACCGCACGCTGCGAGAGTCTTCACAGTTTTGCCCACGTCGGACGTCGTAACCGTGCCTGACCCGCACTTCCGCGTCCTGCTCTTGCGACGACTCCGCCTGCCCCTTCCCCTCGGTCCGCGCGCCTGCTCCTGCCGGGGCTTCCTTGACGAGTATGGAGATCACCGCGCCGCCTGCTCCAACTCTGGCGTCCTTGCATCCCGCGCACTGCCCCTTGAGCGCGCTGTAGCCCGGGTTTGCCAGGAGGCCGGCGCGCGTGTCGGGCGCCGCCTTGTCGGCCATGAACCTCGATGTGCCTGTCCACGACGCACGGCGCATCGAAGTCGTGTGCAACGGCCTCAACCTCTGGCATGGCGCGCAGCTCGCGGTCGATGCGACCCTCGTCAGCCCTGTGACGCGCGAGGGGCTGCCGCAAGCCGGGGCTGCCACCCACCCTGGCAGTGCCTTGCGCAACGCTGCGCGCCGCAAGGGCCGGCAAACTTATCCCGAACTTGACCGCAGTCGGCGGTGTCGGCTCGTCGTTTTCGGGCTTGAAGTCGGGGGGCGCTGGGACTCTGAAGCTGCCACCTTCGTGCGCCTCCTTGCTCGTGCGCGGGCGGCCGGCACCCCCGCCGCGTTGAGGGCCTTTGCCCAGGCTGCTTGGGTCCTCCGGTGGAGTGGCATCATTTCCGTCGCTGCGCAGAGCGCGCTTGCGGCTACCTTCCTCGAGCTCCCCGTCCCGTCGGAGCCCTGTGCTGCTGGCACCCCCCCAGCCTTGCACGAGCTCCTGGCTGACGCCCGCTGGAGCGAGAGCGAGGTCCCGGCACCAAGCCGTCTGCCCAGCCGGGCCTAGGTCCCTTCCCCGGGCCCCCGAAGGGGACCCGTGGACTCGACCGTCCCGACCCTGACTGCGGCGGACGCAAAAAGGCGCGAGAAAAAAAAAAAAAAAAAGCAAGCGGCAGCGCGTGAGCGACGCGCAGCTCGGGCCCTTGGTACGCTTCATACGGCATGCATTCGCACCCGGCTGCTTGCTCGCAGGGCGAAATTAGTGGAGCTGGCACCGAAGCAGCCGCCTTCCTGTGCCTCCTGGCCCGCCACCGAGCCGCCACCATCCCAGCGCATCTCCGACCAGTGGCTCAGGCCGCCTGGGTGGCGCGATGGGCGGCGGTACTGGCTGTTGCGGCCCAGCGTGCGTAAGCATTTTCCCTGCTTGGGCTGACCCTTGCCCTTCCGATCCCGACCCCCGACCCCCGCGAGGACATGCTGCGGCAAAAGGCGAAAAGAAATGCCGGTGCGCAGGGATCTGGTCCGCGTCCGTGCCCAACGAGCTCCGTCAGCCATGCGAAGCGCTGCATCGTCGGCATGGGCCAGACGTTGGTGGGCCATATTGGCAGTGTCGGTACAACAGGCCGTCGCCGCTCCACGCGAGCCAGCTGTCGGCCCCATGGCTGGACCGAGTGCTCGACCTTGCTGATGTGCGGGGGCCGAGCCGCTTGCCGCTTGGCAACTACGCACAAGGCATACAGCAGGAACACCAAGCCATGCAGGTGCAAAAGTGACGGAAAAAACACAAACAACTTCATACGGCGTTGTTGACCGCGAGGCTGTCCTGCTGCGCGTTGGACAACAAAAACAACTACGTTTCCGTCCGCTGGGCCACCTGCGACCACCTTTCGCGTCTGCAGGGCCTGCAGTTCGGCAACCGCGTCCTTAATTATGTGGTGCGCAGCAAGGCCGAGCGGGGCCAACTGACCTTTCCACCTTCTTCCTTGACGATGGCTGTTGCTGTTGTCGGCGCACTTCTACCTCACGCGAAACGACGTGCAGCTGAACTGGTGCTCCAGCTCAACCTAAGTTGAGGCCGTCGTTGTCGGGGGCACGGACCCTGCCACCCCCATTGGTGACAGGGCCTGCGTGCCGGCCATAGCGGCGGTGCCGACGGGCGCATAGGCGTGTAAGCGTGAAAAGACAAGACTCCCACAAAAAAAACAAAAAAAAACATTGTTGGTTGTTGCTTATATGTGCAGTGCTGCCGACGTATCTGAAATTGGATGTGCGGCGAGCTCCGGCGAGACAGTTCGTACGTACGGCGACCGCCCAGAAGCTGCTCGTATCGCTTGCAGCCGAGCTGCCCATGTGCATGCCACTTGCGACTGCATCCCCACGTCATTTTGCTTTCGGATGCGCGTTGGCGGGCCAGTTGCCACTTCAAAACCATTGTTGACGGTCAGCAGAAAAGCTAGCAAAGAAACGTCAGCACACCACCAGACAGAATTCACCAACAACTTTTGCTTTCACCGCGACCATAGCTATCCGGGGAATAATTGTAAAAGGTCGCGCGTCTTGTCTGAGTTTAGTTTACGATGGGATGTGCAGCCAAGGTGACAGGCTCTTGCATTTTGCAAACGTCCAGGCAACATTTGACAGCGATCGACGTGCATCGTGGAGAAGATGTCGGAACCACGGGACAGAGCAAGATTGAAGCCAGGCATTTGTTGCTCGGGTTTGTGCTGGTGCTTGCCTTGGGTGTGCACATATTGGAACCCATAATGCAGTGGTTCCGTGTTTGGACATGGTCCATGCGATCACTGGGTCATGCGCCTGGATTACCTGAGACCCAACGATTTTGTAAAGATGAAGTGCAGCGCGAGTTCCAAAATTGGCTGGACGTCATACCGTGCAACTCCGATCCTTTCATTCGTGATGTTGGCAATAAGCAACCTCTCACCTTTGCAGAGTTGCACAAGTTTTCCCAGGATCGAGAGGTGTGGTTGAGCCGATTCGGGATTGGCCTGACCGACCGAGTCTGCACTATGATTCCAAACGGACCTGAAGCAGCTGTTTGCTTTCTGGTGTTTCCATTGCGCTGTGTGTATGCCCCCTTGAATCCAGCCTTCACCGTCCCAGAGATCGAGTTCGAATTCCAAGATCTTCCATGCCACACGGTGGTGGTGATGGCGGGCGAAGACAACATTGCAACGTTGCAAGTGGCAACTGAGCTGAAGGTGCAAGTCCTGGAAATGGATCCGCATGCAGAGACGGCCGGCCTTTTCAAGTTGAAGGTGCACCCGCAGAGCAGTGTCAGACATGACGTCCCGATTCCAAGTCATGCGCAAGAGCAACAAAGCACACGCCACGATGTAGCGCTGGTGTTGCATACGTCCGGCACCACCAAGAAGCCGAAGATTGTTCCATTGACGCATGAAAACTTGACGGTGGGTGCCTTGTGCATTCAGACCACATTGCAGCGGAAGCAGTGGGATACCTGCCTGAATCTTATGCCTCTCTACCACATCCATGGCCTATCCGTGAATGTACTAGCGTCGGCCATGTCAGGCTCTTCGGTCGTTTGCTCGCCCGGCTACAAAGGTCCAGGAAAGCCGCTTGAATGGTTGGCTTCTGGGATGGCAACTTGGTACTCAGCAGTTCCCACCATGCATCAGGGTATTACAGAAGCAGGGCTGGCCTCTTCCGATTTCAATTCCTCGGCTGCAGGAGTTGGTTTGATCCGAAATTGCTCTGCCGCGCTTGTTCCTGTTCTTGCCGAGAAGATGGAGATGCTTTTCGAATGTGTGGTGATGCCGACTTATGCGATGTCGGAAAGCATGCCGATAGCATCCAATCCTTTGCCTCCAAACTTGCGAGTCCTACGCAGTGTTGGCAAACCAGCAGGCCCAGGGATGACATTACGCCACGAAGCCACGAACTTGGAGCCAAAGCTGGGCGAGGAAGCAGAAATTTGTGTTTCCGGTGCTTGTGTGACCAAGGGCTACGAGATGAGGGCGCACATGGACCAAGATCCCAACATTGAAGCCTTCACGCCAGACAAATGGCTGAGGACAGGAGACAAGGGATATATCGATGAACACGGGTACCTGTGCCTGTCGGGGCGGTACAAGGAGATCATAAATCGTGGCGGTGAGAAGATTTCGCCCTTTGAGGTTGAAAATGTTTGTCGGCAATGGCCAGCCGTTTTCGACTGCATCGCTTTCTCCTGCCCACATGTGCAGCTTGGAGAGACCGTTGGACTTGCGGTCGTGCTCCGGGACGGGGAGATTATGACAAGCAGGAAGTTGGGCGAGCTGCGGGAGTTTGGCGCTGCGAAGATGAGCGAGAAGTGGCTGCCCCAGTGCATTCTCTTCATGAAGGATATCCCCAAGGGCTCCACAGGCAAACCAGCTCGAATTGGCTTAGCCAAGCGCATGAAGCTGGAAGCCTTGGATGTGGAAGTCGACAATGCTACAGTTGTTTGGGATGCATCATCTGGCACACCCGTGCCCATCAATGATTCCTCAGATGCCGTCGGACGGGTTGAAGTCAAAAGCATCGTGGATTCACTGGGCAAAGTTAGGGAGGTGAACAACGACAAGTTGGAGGAAATGGCACTTGTGGAGACACTGTATGGCTTTGCGATTCCTTGGATCTTGTATTTCCATTTCTTTTTGGACAAGGAGCTGAAAGAAGGGCTCTTCTCCAGCATCATGGCACCATTTCGCAATGATGGCTTGCAGCTTGGCCATCACATCGCCTTTCACGTGAAGCCTGTGACCGTCTTCTTGATTTGTTATGGGCTACTTGTCTGGAACATGCCATGGCCACGTGAATTCAACATTGCTTCACATGTAGTCGGCCAGTACATTTTTGGAGAGCCCGACCAGGTACCTGGAGGCATCAGACCGACACTTCGCATTTGGTGGCTTTGAGCGCGAAATTGTTCTCGCACTTTTGACCTCGTTCATAGGCTGGTCTTTGCACTCGGTGCGTGTGTGTGTGGGGGGGGGAATTTTGGTCGTTGCTTGAACGCATGCCTTGCAGTGGGTTTCGACACGTTGTGGCAGGACTGCTGACGCCCTTGTTCTTGACCCTGCTGGAGGTGATCTCAGGCTCATCCCACCTTTAGGAGGGGAGGGGAGGGAAGGGAAGGGACGGAACGGGACGGGACGGGATGGGAAGGGAAGGGAAGCAAGAGGGGACGGGCCGGGCCGGACAGGGCAGGGCAGGGCAAGGCAAGGGGAAGGGAAGGGAAGGGAAGGAAAGGAAGGGACGAGGACGGGACAGGAGGGGACGGACGGGACCGGACGGGAAGGGCAGGGCAGGGCATGGCAGGGCAGGGCAAGGGAAGGGAAGGAAGGAAAGGAAAGGAAAGGGAAGGAAGAGAGGCATGGTTATTGAACTGACCTTGACTCACGGGCAGGCCTGGTACAAGGGGAGGGAACGCACCTGACACTCATGCTGCAGCAAAAGAAGAACCGCCTCGACCACCGGAGGAAGGCAAACAAGCCAATCCCAACAGGGGAACGAGTGTTCGGGGCAGGTATGGGGATAGTGTGGAGACTAGTAGTTCATGTGTCAGGGACTAACATTGGATCGGGGATGGGCAACTCTCAATTCCGGGGGAAGAGTTGTAGTTCCGGGGGAAGAGTTGTAGTTTCACGATGACCGTGAACTTGGGCGCGCCTAGGCGCGAGGGGTCTTTCCGGTCCCCCAAGCCCTGCAGAAGAAGAAGAAGAAGAAGAAGAAGAAGAAGAAGAAGAAGAAGAAGAAGAAGAAGAAGAAGAAGAAGAAGAAGAAGAAGAAGAAGAAGAAGAAGAAGAAGAAGAAGAAGAAGAAGAAGAAGAAGAAGAAGAAGAAGAAGAAGAAGAAGAAGAAGAAGAAGAAGAAGAAGAAGAAGAAGAAGAAGAAGAAGAACAAGAAGAAGAAGAGAAGGGCATGCGCACAGCAAGGGGGCTTGCCCCCACGCCCCCAAGAGAGGAAGCACATGGAAACACAACGTGAGAGGCAACATTGGGATTTGCAAGGGCAGAAACTTCCATGCTTGGCCATGCCTGCGCAGGTAACAATGCTCCTGAGGGTGCCGGGACAGCTTTCCAACCTTTCCAGGTGTGGTTTACGGGAGGAAGTTGGTTCCTGGAGTTTGTGCTCATTGGCCGCATGGTTCTTGTCATCTGCCACAAGCTTCGCATCCCTGCTTGGCTGCAAATCCCAGCTGCTTTGGTCGGAAGCGCTTCCTTCAACGCAAACGATCTCGAGCCTCGAACCACACCTGGTGAGCTCCTGTACTTGTACGCTGTCTTGCTTACTGGTGCTTACGTTGCACCATCCGTGGCGAAGCATGTGAGCACAAAGTGGAAGACATGGTCTCGTTTTGGACGTGGAGCATTGCGGGCAAGTGCAGCTGTGTTTGTGCTAGGTTCATTTTTTGGGCCTCTGGGACATGGATTCAGTGATGCCAGCAGGTTACCCTGCCTTCACCAGAAACTGCTGCCACCAGCCGTGTGCATGCCGATCTGCTTGGTGCAGCAGAGCCTTTGGGCCGGTGCAGTGGCTATCTTGCTGGCTCCTGCGGTGAGTGCCCTCCAGGTTCTTGGCTCCTATGCGCTCGGCGCGTATCTTTGGGGAACCCCAGCGTTTCGCTTCAGTATGCAAGGCGTCTCGCTGTTTGGAATGCCGGTTCTTCCCAGCATGCAGAAGATTGCCGAAGCATTTTCGGGGTTCAATGCCGGCCAGAACGTGGGTGTCACGCTGAGCTATGTCCTGCTCCTGTACGTGGTGCTTTACTTCAACTGCCTTTTGGCCGGGTACTGTTTCCAAACGTTCTTGCTGACATGCGGAGGTGTGGTTGGCAAAGTCGTCAACTCCTTGAAGCAGCTCGCTACGAAGTCAAGGTAGCTTCGGTGAGCCAGCCACAAGTGCATGCAGGTTGATGCAGCAGCTTGTTGACAGCAAGGTTCTGGCGAGAAACAACCTTCCTTATATGAACTCCTTTCTCGGATGAACTCTTCTGACTGCACTGGTACTGCAGTGTTTCTCGGGGCCCGGACTGTGCACATGACTGCTCTCAACCAGATTGGGTGAATGGATTTCACGCTTTGCGTTGGGGTTATCGTCATCATGGTGGGTTTGGGATGCAGCAGAGAACAAAGTGACAACATTGACAGAATATGGACTCTATCCTAAGGCTGGAGTCTTCAGGCCTTCAGAGTTTTTTGGAGCTTTCGACGGCTTAAGATCTAGCTAGACGAGTACCTAGCTTGACTCTACGCGCGCCGCAGCTCTTCGGCACAGAGCCTTGTGCGTAGATACCACAGCATTGGCCGTTTGTCAATCAGGAGGCCCTGGCCCAAGACTTGCAAAAACTGAGTGGAGCGCATTTGTGTGTTGGGCCCTTACAGCCCTTACATTGTATTGTCATCTTCGTCCGTCGCAGGTCTGCGCTGCGCCGCGTGAAGAGAGATGGAGGCCTGTGCCGGTCGTTTGCATCGACTTGGCACTTGGGGGAGCGACATGTGCCATGGTGCTCAAACGTTTTCCAGTGTCTCACGTGGCAGGTCGTGGTGGAGAATGCATCTGGCATCCCTGAGGGAAGCATTTTGCCACACTGCCTTGCTTTGGCGTTTTCGGCGACCCCACTGTTTTTTTTTCAAACTGTTGGCTCTTTTTCCGATGTAGCAGGTCCATCCGTGCTGGCAACGTCAGACGGCAAGGCACGCTTTCCACCGACAAGCCAGTGGAAGCCTAAGTGGCTCCCCAGCCGGAATGTTTTGGGATGTTCTGTTGTCAGTATCCGCGATTGTCTTTTTGAGGTGCAGTTCACTCAGACTAGTCTCTTGGATGCCTGCCCTTTCAAAGTGGACCTCTTTGCCCCGTTGGGGAGTTCGAGACTGGTTCCGGCCCGAGAGACCTGGAATGTGCAGGGAACTACCGTGCTGGTTGATCAATTCAGTGCACGCTCATAGGACGGCAAGGGGATTGCAAGAAGGTGCTTCGACCAAAGAGTGATCGCTACTCTGTTAGCTTCGGTGACAAAGACCAGAAGCGGGGCCCTTGGCATGTTGCTCTTCACCTCCCTTGAGCGGGCCATGAGATGCTCTGAACATCTCTGAACAATGATTCTTCGACCCGAGGATGAGTTTGGATCTCTTGGTACAGGGACTCTCAGAGGCTGCACCAGAGAAGCCGCAGCCAAAGCCTCAGCAGAGCGCGATGATGCGATCCGATGATCAAAGTCACTACTGACACGGCACAACGGCAGTCTTCCTCGAATACACCATTTTGGGGACAACTGGCCACATCAAATAGACCATCCTTCAAAGTGAAAGGCCCACCGCTCCGCGTGAAGAGCTTTTGTCTGAGACCGAGGTGGGTTCTGGGATTGCACCAAATCATTGCCCGCAGATTGTGGAGAATAGGGTTCACGACTGAGAACATTTGGTCAATGCTCAGCTTTCTGTCCAGGCTTATCTGGAGCGTCACGAGCTTCAGCGCTTCATCCAGAATCTCATCACGAGTGCCTGGGCTAGAACCGTCTGCTTCTTCTGCTCCTTTGCGATTGGTCGTGTTCCGAGCCAGGAGGTTCTTTTTTCTCAGTCGGTGCTGAACTGCATGTCAGAGCACGCCCGCGCACTTCCAGAAGTTCTAAAGTGAAACATCCAGGCGTTCTGGCCGACAAGCCGGACGATCCCTATGTGCTCGGACTGAGTGTCTTGAGCCGGCAGAATTCACAGAGGTTTTCCGGGGGGGAAGGCTCATGACCCTTTGCAGCTCAGGCGTACATGGCACACCACCTCTCCAACGTGCGAGCTCGAGACTCGGTTTGTAGGACCAGAGGTGGGGCATGTGGGGCATGATTCTGTTCGGCTTGCAGGCCTGTTTTGCTGCGTTCTGCTTCCAAGGTGAAGGAAATTCCGCGGCCGCCATCGGTGCAGGCAGCGCAGGTGCTGTGCCAGTGTCAGCATTTGATAACATCTGTGCCTAGATTGAATCGGCGGTACCTTTTCTGAGGGCACGCCGAGTCACATCAAGCGCCCAGCCAAGAAGCCTGCACGGTTGACGTCGGTCACTCAGTTCGATAGTGCGCTGGGCATATTGGGTCAAGAGGCTTGGCGGACGAGCGGCTTAGCCGGGCGTCTGGGAGCCCTCGGCTGGACCCTGAGGCCTCACAAGCGGAGCTTTGGCAACCCGTCCTTCGTGGTGGAAGACTATGATGGGAACCTGCTTACACTTCGGGAACTTGAGGCAAGGACGTCAAATGCCAGATGCTTGTCTGAGCTTTCAGCTTGGTGCGAAGTGAGATGGTCCAGCTGGCAGGGCAAGGACATCATTGGTCCAGGAGCGGAGTTGAGACGCTTACGGATCGATGAGTTGGGCAAGGCGGGAGATGTCTGAACGTAAAAAGCTCAGCTTGTAGAGACATGAAGAGACGCTGCTGGCAGATGTTCCCGTCGAAAAGTCTTTCCTCTCCCTTGACTCTCGACCATACTGAGACCGCTTGCACGCGAGTTGACTGAAGCTTGGAGCCGTGCAGACTGCGAGCGTTGCTACGTGTTTGGACGTCAAGGACCGAAATCGTCGGCCAGTTCATCGCGAAAGATGCGAGTGCCACACAGGCCGGCAGCTGACACGGCGGATGCTGAAATCAAATCCAATGTTGTTGGCTGCACAAATAGAAGATGTTCAAGCCCAGGCTGCCAAATCGGACACACCCATCATGTGACGCCAGGAAAGACACTACTTTAGAAACTCTTGCGCTAAGCCAGGCCATTCAGCTTGGCAGTTCGGCCCCGAGCTAGTTGCAGAAGTGTACATGTCGTGGGTCAGGACATGTCAGGAGCTTCTCTCGCGATGGAGTCGGTGTATGCCATAAACTGACCAGGCACCGACTGCTTCTACCAGATGCCACTTGCCGGTCCCAGGCGCCCATTTCCAGCATTTTTCAAAAGCCGCGGTATGCCGTTGCACGATGCGAGCGGTGCGGGTGCAGGTCGTTGCTGCATTTTGATCCCGAGGCCGCTGCAGCAATACCACGCAATGCTATGCGTCATGATACTCCCCCCTAGCGACAGCCAGGACGTTGTGGCCACGCTGGTCACCTGTGGTGGCTTGTGCCCTGGTATCAACGCAGCTGAGAGCTCAGAACAGGTTGCTGTGATGGGCCTTGCTGGAATCTCATGTCAACAGTGCCAGGTCATCCGTGAATTGGTAATGATGCTTGCGCAGTATGGTGCCAGGGCCTCTGTACTGTACGTGCAGAGCATGTCCAGGCAAAGTCGGCGTTTGCACCCAGTCATCGGATTATTGAGCTTCCTCCCGTGCATAAGGTCCGGAAGATTTATGGTATCCGTGGTGGCTACAAGGGAGCATGAACCCCATCCGCCAGATGAGATTTTTGTTGTTGAGGGTTGGTGCAGCTTTATGCTGCCTCTTCGTGCGGCAAAGGTGATCAAGCCGGAGACTTGGATGGAGTTGACGCCAGACAGTGTGCAGGCACGGGGGCATGCCAGGACGGCAGATGGACTTCATTTGACATGGTTTGCATGTTCCATCAGGACATCAACAGCATGGGAGGGTCAGGATCCCAGAGATCTTGAATCATGCTGGTGAGGAAGCAAATCGTATTTTGCTGAGAATTTGGGCATGAGTGATGGAGCAAGTGTGCACGTTTCGAAGACAAGTGGGCATTGCCTGGCCCTGCACGACACAGCAGCTGAGGACTATTCTTGTCAGCGACCGCGGCAACCCCACAGAGGAGGACACTCGAAGAAAGTGAAGTTGGAACTGCTTTGTCGTAGGCTTCCTTGCTGTTCGGGGTCTGTAATGTTTCTCCACTTGCGGATTGAAGGGGCCAGGGTCACTGTTGGGTTTTGTTTCTCGTGGGAGGGCTTAACATTTTTCGACGTGTCCGTTTTGTGATGACTGATTTTTCCGACCTCTTGGGAGGTTGCCTCGGCAGGACTACGATAGCGATCTTTGGAGCTTAGGCTTCTCTAGTGTTAGTCATCATTCAATCCTGTTCGCGTTCTCTGACTCTGATGGCTCAGGGCGTGCAAATGTCCAGGTCAGTATGGTTCCCGAAGCATCTTTTCCATGGCTCCTTCAGGAACAAGTGAAGGTTCTGATGGAGATGGGAGTCCGTGCGGGTCTTGGTTTGCTTCCTTGAAAGGCAAGACGTGGTGATCCTTGGTGGCTACACAAACAGACTTGCAAGGTGCCCATTTCATCATCGGAGGAGATGGAACCCAACGTGGTGCTTACGACACTTGGTGCAGAGATGTGCACAGGTATGGCGGCTCGTACGTTTCATGCGGTGGATGAAAGTTTAATTCCTGCTGGGCTTTGAGGATTGCGCGCAACTGGTGAAAGCCAAAGGCTGGAATTGCTCAGCTGCTTGACGCCTTTTGAGAGATATAGGTTGAGATACAAATGAGTGGCCTCGCGCGGTCCTGCCACTGCCATGCTGAGGTTGTCGGAGTTCCGAAAACCATTGACAACGACATCCCCATGCTGGATTGTACGTTTGGTGCTTCAGTGGGCACAAGAAAGCATTTTGCTCATTTTTTCATTTTTTTTTCGGTGTGGGGAGTCGCCACTGCAGGGGCCAGTGTGGCAAAACCCAAACCTCAGGTTTCGACACGGCGTGTATGGAAGCGGAGAGGGCCATCAAGGCTGGATATGTTGAGGCCAACTGCAATTCCAATTGCATCGGCCTCGTCAAGCTGACTCTCTGGCTGCATGGGACGTGGTTGTAGAGGCTCTTTGCTGACCGCTTGATGGTTCCCTGCCTGTCTTGAGTCCGAAGATGGATTGCGGATTCAGGATGGGTCGAAACTCGGGATTCATTGCCTTGCATGCCTGCCTAGCGGCACGGCACGCGGACATAGTGCTTCTTCCAGAGATGAAAATCTGCAGCTTGGTTGAATGTTCAAGATGCCATGCAGCGGAGGGTGCAAGACAGTGCAAGACAGTGCGCGGCAAAGCAGAAGCCGAGCGCCGAGGCTTGGAGAAGGTACTGCAGCATTGCTTGGAGCTGATGCAGTGGCTGTGCGGCATGAGACCGGTGGTTGAGAACTAGACTCTGTGGGAAGTGCGGGAAGTGCTGAGAAACGACGTTTGTGCTAAGGTCAAAGGGTCGCTGCGTGATTGTGGTGGCCGAGGGCTGTGGCGAAACGATGCTCAAAAGCTGTGGGGAAGATGGCGAAGTCGATGGTGGCACACTCAGCATTTGTGTAGCCAGACATGCGTTTGTAGTGGAGCTTGTAAACACGGCATGACATCATGGCGTAGCATACGCAAACATCATGATAAAAGCGTGATCAATCATGATGCGTGAGGCTTCAGCTGCTTCTCCTTTTTGGCTCTGACATGCTCTGACCAGGAACAGAGATTCATCACATGTCAGCGCGCCTTTAGGCATCTGTAAGCACCTTTATGCATCTGTCCTTCGGCCTTTATGTTTACTTCAATCCCATTGAGTTTTGCTTGTGGTTTTTGTTGACATTTGCCAAACATATGCCGGAGAAACTCCTTTCACTTTGTCGATCCTCTTTTGCTGGCGACACCTGCATTCCGGCCCTGCCTGCCTTTGAGCCATTTTTTGAGCCTCTCCAAGCCTCCTAAAACCGCTTCAGGCCTCTTTAAGGCCTCTTGATATCACCCTTGAAATCCCCACAAGGCTCGCCACTGTCCCATGAAAATTGCTGAAGGGCGCGTGTCGGCACTTGTACTGTAGAAGGAGGTTTGAGAGGGGGAGAGGTGTCCACAAATTCGCGACAAGACTCACTTGACTCAGTCATGCCAAACGCTGCCAATCTCTTATGCAGATCACACTATCTTTGTTTTTGGTGCACGAAGGGAGAAAAGGCACCTTGCCGGTACAGGTCAGAATTTAGCTGTCGAGTGTCAGGCGGCTGAGGATGCCAAGGCTCTGCCAGGCTAAGGCGGCTAAGGCGGCTAAGGCCGAGGAGCCCTACAGAGAGAGGGTTTTCGAAGCATACCCTTTTGCCAATGTTTCCCCTAGGTGGCGGCCACAAGAAGCTCCCAGATGTGGGGCCATGGCTTCGTGACAAGCTGATTGAGCGTTTCAAGCAGGCCGGGTTCCATTGTCATTAGAGTCAAAGAATCAAAAGAGTGGAAGGAGTCAAAAGCACACGCCACTGTGATCCCCTCGTCAGGTGAAGCTACCGCTGACGGCCACTAGATTGATATGGCATCCCATATGGTTTACATATGGATTGTTGATCAATGTTCTGCTTCGGGGCTTGGCTTTGGCTCGCATGCCGATGTTGCAACAAGTTGGTTTCACGAATCGGACAGCTCCAGGACACTCAAAGTATCTCAAGGCCAGACTTCCACCCGTTTTAAACATCGCGAGGGTTCTCTGAAGGCACACGACACCACAAAATGAGTTGCCTAGCAGCGAAATGATACAAATCGCTCACATGGATGCACATGGATGGAGCAAAAACAAATTCACGATATTTCTTTAGCAAACACCTTGAACTGCCACGTCTCGTATGTTGCGGTATCTTGCGCGTTGTGGGCCACCTTTGGCGAGAAGCATAAAAGGCTGTCCTAAAAAATAGTTGATAATCAAAAGAAGGATAAAAGTTGGATTGATGCGTGGAAGATGGTGGGCGCACGAAGCCACAGGAGGTACATAAGTGCCTTGGAAAAGACGTGATGAATCCGAAAGCCATCTGGCCAACATCAAACTACAACGTGTTCTGCAGAAAAGTAAGTGTAGCTCGCTTGGCTTGCATGAATAGTTTTGAACGACGCAACCCCTTTGGCTGTGATTCACCGCCGAGCTGAGGTCAAGTACATTGATCCGACGTATATGATTCGTGCCATCGGGCCAAATGCAAATGACAGCCACTTGACTTCGCCATTTCGTTCTTGTTGCTGCCTGTCCACTGAAGCTTTGCCCGGCCAGAAGCTGTAGACCTAGGCGTTTACTGCTCTTCGTTGAGCCACAATGCTGTGCATGCTGCTATGGCCGGCTACACAGGAATTACCGTTGGCCTGCTGCTTAGTTTCATCTTGTACCAACCACAGTTCATGTCTATAATTTTCTGAAGCACTTGAGCGTGGCGAGATGCATCCCGAGGACAGGTCAGCAGCCGACAGGTGCTGTTGCCCATCGCGTGCGTCACCAAGAATCCGCAGTGGCTTAGCTGCAACAAAGCTTCTGTGAGATTGAGTGGTGGTCGCCGACATGACAATTAGTTGTTTACCTTCGCCAGCCACTAGTGGCTGAGCTTAAAGGAAACGAGTTGACCTCAAGGGCCAAAGGCACGCTGTGCTTGTTACTGCATTTGGGCTGCGATTTGGCGCATGGGTTGGCTGGAATCTGGTGCAGGTTCCAGGAGCTTGTCAGCTCCACGTTGCAGCCCAACTTAGCACCCGACGGTGAAGATGAGGAGGTTGAACATGCACCGGCACCTGCTGGACTCTCAATGGGAAAGAGTAGAGGAAACGGGCGAGAGATAGTTTGGGGTTGTAAGGCGTCACTGACTAAGGTGGAAAACCCGTTGCTGCATGATTCTGAGCCTGTCGAGCTCCTCAGCGCCATGGGAGAAGGATGCGAGGCCCCGAAGTCCGCGGCATCCCTCTTTCTCCACCTCACTTTGTCCCGCTTCGCAAGTTCGCATAGCACCAGCTCGATGCATTTGTTTGTTTGCAAGCCTGAGCCCAGGGTTTAGATCTCACATGGTTTGAAGGTCCGACGCCTCGAGCTTGAGCACCTATCCAACACGTTTGGCGAACAGTCGGAAACCACCACTCTCATGGAGCAGGTGGGGGGAAGCTCAGTGCCAGTTTCTTGTTTCAAGCTTGTCGTGTGCCAGTACCACCAGTGCACCACCAGGCAATAGTGAGAAATTTGATTCATGCCTGTAGGTGAAGGGAGGTCGAGTTAGCTTCTTCGACCAAGCCTCCTGGGTTTTGGACCGAGCTGCAACTGACTTCCACTGCAACGGATTGCCAAGGCTTAGCACTTTGAGATGCGAGTCGTGGAGCAGCCCAGGTCACTCAGACACTTGGTCTGCCCGGTGTCCGTCTCCAGATGTTGAAGGCACGGCTCAGAGCCACGGCATCGGGTCGACTGCCTCCTGCAAACTCTGCATCGTTCTGCTCCTGACCGCGTGTCGCCAGGCCGGACCACGAAAGAAGCTGTACTTCAAGTCCGAACCTTTCGCTTCAGTGAGAGCATGCAGAGTTGGGCTGCAATTGTTTGGAAGGGGTTGGCTACTTTCACATGCGTTCTTGACGTGCGTGTGCAGTAGCATATGTCGGCGGCGCTTCATGGCCGAGGCCTTCGGAGGTGGCGGCCACGATTGTGACTTGCAGGGGTCCCAAGAGATGTGCGGAGAGCCGTGACCACAACGTCAGCGTTTTTTTTTTTTTTTTTGCAAGTTCGCACGTGTGTCATCTTTGAGGTGGTGGCTTGTGCCCTGGTTTGAACTCCGTCATCCGTGAGCTGGTTTTGCGCCCAGATTGGGCATTGTTTCTACGAGTTGCATGACAAGCATCCTCCGCGGATCCGCAAGACATGCAAGACCATTTTCAGTGCGTGACGAGGTCATGATGCTGTATGCGTATGGCGTCAAGAAGGTCTACGGCATCAAAGGAGGTTTCAAAGGCCAGGCGTCGCCTTTCATTTCACAGCAGAACGGGAGCACGGATAGTGGGACAGAGGCGTGGTGAATCCACAGAGCTGGGTGACGTTGACGCCCGAGAAAGTCAAGGACATTCATCTTCAGGGACCTTGCCTTAGCAGCCCCAGCACCCTGAGCGTTTTTGAATTCGCGCATATTCGTGCGCTTGGAATTCGCAATAAGGCGGCTCGATCCTGGTCAGCGATCGTGGGAACCCTCCGCACAGCGAGATGGTAAAAACCCCAGCTTAGCTCCCGTGGGCCAATTGCTCAATGATGGGGATTGCCGTGGCTGGTTCTTTGTCATCGTGCGGAAATTTGCTAAGGCAAAGGCGCTGAAGAAGCGGGGTGTGCGGCAGCACTTTGTCCTTGGTGGCGACGGCACGCAGAAAGGCTAGCTTCAGCTCGCTTCCATGCGGAACTTGCAGCTGTTCTAGTAGCCCACACGCCTCCGTGACTAGCGGCTCATGCTTGTGACGAGGCGCATACCAGACTTACGAGCAGATGCAAGCCATCGGCTCGGAGCTTGGATGTAGCCTGATGCGTGGTGTGCGCTGGTTCGCGCCAGTGTTCCAAGTCATACCTCTACGTTGATGTTGTCTTGTTGCTGGATTCGAGCAGGTTGGGAGTGCGCCGTTGTGGGCATCCCGAAGACAATCGACAACGACATCAACCTGCTGGACTTTCCGTAGCCGACTGCATCCTTTGTGAACCCAGCAGACGCTTGAAATGTAAGGTCGTGAAAACGACCACCCAGGTTCCATTTCTAAAGGTCGCAAGTCCGGTGAAGAACGAGAGCAATGAGAGTTTGTGCCCCCTATAATATGAGGGTTGTCCGAAAACCCTTACCTAACAACAACTTGTCAAAATCCGGGCGCACGCAAGCCCTGTGCAAGCACGTGGCAAGGACTGGCGCAAGGGATGGACTGTCCAGTCTCAGCGTGTCATTGTGATGAGCCTCCACGAAAACCATTTTGAGCCCCACTGCACGCGTGCAAGCTCGCGCAAGCTCCGTGCAAGACGGCACAAGCCCCCAATTCGGGATGAAGATGGACGAAGCAATTACGGACAGCCCCCATATGATCCATATGGCATGTCCTAGCTATGGTCTTAGACACGCGAAAGAAACAGGCCTCCGCCAGATTGAGCATGCCTCAGAATTTGTAAACGTTTGAATGTAGCAGGACCGCAGCTTTGGCTTCGATACAGCCATGCAACTTTGCTGCAGGATGTCTCTCGTTGCATGAGCTTGAAATCATTACTGCTTAAAAGGTGAAACAGTGGGGAACGCAACGGGGGCCACAACATTGTTGTTCAATACGAACAATGTAACAACGACTGGAGCCGAGGACGGAGGCGCAGAAGGCAATTGAAGTTGCCTACATCGAAGCCACGTGCAATGCAAATGCCATTGGCCTCGTGAAGCTCATGGGCAGGACCCCCTTCTCAATGCTTCGTACGTGATGGGTAGAGAAACTATACATAATTAAGTCGGAGTTTTCAAGCCTGCCAAAGTAGTTTGCCTTCTCTTGCAAGTGTTCGCTTATTCTGCAAGGCACTGTGGCTACTTGACGATGATGTCGGTATTGGCTGCACGCCACGTGGACATCTGCCTTCTGCCAGAGATGGACATCAACTTGGATAAGGCCAGCACGCTGACTGTGTGGCATTTTCGGCGACGTGGCCCAGCCCGGCATGTCCTGAATCCTTACGCTCCTTGCACATCCTGTGGCCGCAAGTCAACAGCGAGCATAGAATTCTAGGGCTTCGAGCAATCGCAATTCATCCACTGTTACCTGCCGCATGCCGGGGTTTTTGCCGTGGCAAAATAGAGGTTTCGAAGCCTAATGCAAAGGTCTCTGAGGTCTACGGTTGGGTGCCAAGCTCTTCCTGCAATCAATATCTAGCCTGCCCTGACATCTTTCTCACCTGCCCCGACACTCCACACACCTTCGGCGCCCCTTGTGGACGTGAGATTATTGTAAGCCAGAAATTTAGCAAGCTTGTTGAGCTTGCAGAGCAACATGGAGGGACTTCAACAAGACAATCCTCTCGTAGCATCGGAGTCAGCAGCAGCTCTTACCGTGGCGGAGGAATAACTCAATGTCCAGGGACTGAGAAGCTGCCTGAGAAACAGGCTCTTGTCAGGAGAGATATCCGATGGTGGCTCTTGGCTGTACTGGTGAGGAGGAACACAATTCACGGGGTGCAAGCAGAACCTTAAATCACCACACATTGTCTCAGCATCTACTCGCTAGTCCTTTCTTCAGCGTTCGGATGACTCTGGAGTATGGCAAGGGGGGGGGATCCTGCGGCATTGTTGTCACATGCGACTACGACTGAAGCGTCCCTCCTTGGTTGGAGATAGCTGCGTGAGAAGTGTCAAGCCCTGCTGAAAACAATGCCTGAAGCCAGTCATCGTGCTTGGTTTGTTCGCCTCTGTCTGGCAAGGGGAGACTGCAAAAAAGGGGCTTGCGGCAGGCTTAAGGTTGTTGGGTGAGGCGGGTTGCGAGTCCGAACTAGTGGGATTTTGTGGCGGGCAGTGCATGAGGGGGGAATCGAACAAATTTCCACGGTCACGAACGCAAAGGGTTACCTGTGGAGGAGTTTCCGTGGTGGGGCAGTCATCGGCGGGTGGGAGCCGTGTTGTGTGTTGAGCTTCGGGAACAATGTCAACATGATCCAAGATATATACTGTGAACTAGACGGAGGAACTGCGAGGGCGAGTCGTGCAGCGAGTGTGTGTGTGTGTGTGTCAAGATCTCCCAAGTGGAGAAAGTTAAGTACGCGTCCCTAGAGTGGGAGGGTAGCCGCAACCTCTGAAAGCTTGAACGCAGCCCCAGTGAAGCTCGGTGGATGCTGTAAATATCAATACGTTCGTGCAGGTCCTTGATCACTGCGTTGAGCTTGTCAGCACGAGCGGATATGGCGTCGCTGGGTTGCAATGAACGTTCCAGGATTCTGTTCTTCCTTGTGCGCCTGAAAGCTGGGGTCCATGGCAACAGAAAGAAACACCTTTCACATGGCCATGGTTACGTGGCATTTCTCCACCAGGACTAGACAAATTGCTAAAGCTTCATTGAAGCGACTCGTTCAACCATCCCTCGCACATAGATTGAGTTGGGGCTTGGGGCGACGCGCAAGTTCACCAACACCCTCCCACGAGATGCGGTTCGATGAAGTATGCTAGCAGTAGTGCATTCAGCATCATGCGCAGAAGAAGCCGGCTGGGGCAACCAAGGTGGTCGTGGTTGCGGAGGGCTGTGGCGACACGCTGCTGCACAGCTCAGGAGACTTTTCGCAGATTGAGATGACACCGATTGGCAGGAGGTGACATCAGTTTTGCACAGGTTTGTGTTGGCGAGGTGGGCTTTTCTGGGCTTCACATGGCTGCGTCCTCCCATTGACACATACGCAGCCGCGGCCAGGTTCGTCCCAGTCAAAGTTAGAGTCTGAGTGAGGTCAAGTGGAAAACATTTCAAACCGGCGTCTGCTATGGCGATGGCTCTGCTTCCGACGAAGCCAAGATTGCCAAAATTCTGACGTTTGTTGGGGCTCACAATTCCATCATGATTTTTGCACAGTTTGTCCTGCGACTTGCAAATAGAAGCAAGTTGGGAAGTCCCGGCAGAATTGGCAGAAGTACAGGATGACGCGACATCTACAATGCGTCTCTAGAGATGAAGCTTGAGCCATCGCCGTGTTTTGCGCATGGCGTGCGGTCGATGCACGGTTGTGGTTCGGATAAGGCCAAGCCCAGCAGTACAGGAGCTGCAGATCTCCGGAGATCGTGGTAAGAGCATGGGGAGCCTCAAATTTCATGTGTTTCTCGTGCTTCCCAAGCTGCCTGTGCCGCTCTTCTTTCGCTTTCGACTGCATGAACGTAGCCTCCAAAGCGGCAACCGAAGAAGCAGAAGCGGCAACCATCACAGTCTTTCACGGCCTTTCACACTCCACGGCCTCTGCCGATAGCACCATCCAAAGCTAGTGTAGCCCATTCCAGATGTTGCACCTCATGTTGCACATCATGTTGCACTGCGGGGACTCTCTTTGGCATGATGTGTATGGGGAATATGGATACTGGCAGCAGGTTGCAGCATCCCTCACACTGCCAGGAGCAACCGACGAAGGCGGAAACAAGAAGATCAACGACGTTGGGCCGTGGCTGAAGGACTCGAGAACTTCCGAGCAGCATCAGCAAGCATGAAAGAATGCGCGATATACTTCTCTGAGGATGCCATCACTACGCACTTCAAGAACTTGAAGCTCCCTGACATCCACTGTTCAACTATGCCCCAACTTTCCACTAACAGCGGAGTCTAGAAAGACGTTTCGTCTCTCCACTTCTCAGGCTGCCAGTTACAATCAAGTATGTGGACCCGACCTACATGGTGCTGCCCTCTGATCAGCAGAGAAATTCGCAAAGTCTTGCGCTTCCTATGCATGCCCTTGCTGATTTGCACGAGGTTCGTGCAGTCCCGGCCAATCCCAACGACAGCAGCCTGGCCAATCACGGCCAGAACGAAAGAGTTGGTGCGAGCTTTCGCATGCTGTTGAAGCCAAGGCATCTATTGCTCCGAGCTGGCACAGGCTGCAGTGCACGCTGCCATGGCTGGCTACACAGGCGTGACCGTGGGCAAAGTGGACCAACAGGCCCATGACCAGTGCGCTTTCAATTTCCTAGCTCCCTGACGGTCAATGCCAAATGCAAGCTCATGTACGCAGGTCGTCTACCTTCCCATCAAGATGCTGGTGCTTTGTTAGCAGCCGGATTTGACTTGGATATGCTTTAGCATGCCTTAGCCTTGTGGAGAACTATCTGTGCCTCCTGAGACTTCGATGCCCAGCCGCGTTGTCGACATCAATGGCCGATGGTTCGAAGCACTCCGCACCACAACGCAACAGCCAAACCTGGCCACTTGCCTTTCAAGGAGCTCTTCACTTGCCGCTTTCTAGCTTCGCTCCATTCCCGAGGAGTGGGTCGGCAACGCCGCGGCCAAACCAATCGACCCGACGAAGAAGAACTACATGCAGCGTTTCCGGCGCAATGGGTCCAAAGCAGGCCCGAGTACGCCGAACATGCCAAACACGCCGAACACTGTTTAGCCGCCACTTCCTTTTGGTGACGGTCCTGAAATTTTTGGTATCCGAACCGCCAAAAGACAGGTAGGCTGAATTGCCGCCTGCTTAGTGCACCCCTGCCTGCTCAAGGCCGGTTGAGCTTCGTGGATGAGAAGTCCGACGGGATACGTGTGCCAGACACCACTTTGGCCATCACAGATGGTCTTGTGGCTCAAGTAAGGGTGTGAGGTATGGCAAAGTTGGTGGTTGCCGGTGTTCTCTCGAACCTTGATAGGCAAGTGGGGCTCTTCACATGCGACCATGCCGACTAAACTGAAGCAATTTTTGACGAGCTTGACGTCCAGCCTCACAGCTCAGGATTCGGAACGGTCCGTGAAAGACGGCCATTGGCCAGAGATGACTTGCTGCAGGACCGGTGAAGCTGAAAAGCAATGCTGCAGCGGATGATGGGATATCGTCGACTTGGCTCTGCCTGAGTAGCTTTAGTCGCTCTGGCTTCTCCATGCAGGACAGCACAGAGCTGCGCTCCCTGCAGTGCTTCAGCCTAAGCAGCTCGTCCGGAAGAGAATCCTGTGGGTCAATGCGCTTGATCGGTTCGGTTGAAGAATATTGAGAACTTTTTTGGGGCTTCGCAGATTGCAGATTCTCAATCAGATTGTGGAGGTGAGCGCTACGGGACATTTGACATCCCATCCACCTTGAAGGGTGTCAGGCTGTCCGGATCTGAGCAACGACCTGTTGGAAGTGCGGAGTGAGCGAATGAGCCCCTACATGGCACACATGGCTAGATAGACTAGATTGATCAACTCAGGTTCAGTGACAGCTTCTCCTGGACTTCTCAAGCCTTCTTCCTGGGAGACAGTTGGGTGCCAAGCATGTTTACTCTTCTGCAATGACTTCGGTGGACAGATGCGTGATGAGGCGTCACATGTTACAGCGTTTCCAGTCCATTTTTATCAAGGAGTGGACTCTGGCAAGGGCGTGCCGTACTTCAAGATGCATGGATCTCAGTTGCCTTCAATGCCACTCCACCACTGTGCCTGCTGCTGGGCACATGCCAGCTCATGCTGGTAGTTTCTAGGTTTACAGTGGGTGAGTGCATGGGTCGCGTGAACGGCTACGGTCTTAGCTACGAGCGTCCAGTGAAGGACTCGCGCGGGCCCACGGGAGTTCTTGCACTTCGATCCACACGACCCAGCGTCAGCTGCTGCCATCGTCAGCTGTGGTGGAATTTGTCCTGGCCTGAATTGCGGCTTGGATAGCACACCGCACCCTTGGAATGGTTGCAAAGTCGTGTGGTCTTTCTTGCTGTGTATAGTATGACTCATGACTGCGGCTGTGGAAGTTCTAGGGAGTCGCAGTTCCTCGCTTTAGATGAAGCAGTTCTTGCTTCGGACATCAAGCGTCTATGGCTGCACACGCTTGCGGCTGTAGTCGTCGGTGAGGAAGGGCCTAGGATACACGATTTGACAAGGTGTCATCCGCGAGATCGTGAACACTTTGTGGGCCTACGGTGTTCGTCGCATCTATGGCGTCAAGGGCGGCTACAAGGGAGTCATGGAGCCAGAAAATTGGCTGCTTCAATGCATTCACACTGAACTGAGACCCTTGCGACAGCCAGCCCCCATCCCAAATTGAATCATCGAAGTACAACAAGGTTAGAGGCCGGTGTGGGCCTCTCCTATTGTAGTGCGCTGTAGAGGAAATAGATGAACATGTACAGGACAATTCAGGTCTTCCCCAAAAGCGTGGCAGACACAGAGGAAATGCACGTGTCCTTGCGTTCCTGTGACAATTTCGAGGAAATTAGTAAAGGCTGGTTTCAAGAACATGTCCATGAACCGCTGCTTTCCCATCAAAATGTAGAGGATTCAAAAATCAAAGAAACTGAGGTTTTCAAGTTTCCAATACCACAGACTTGCGCAGCCAGATCAAGCTTTAAACAAAAACCCAAGGAGACCGAAGCAAAGCAACTTCCTATCGTCGTCCATGGTTTCCCTTCAACCCTCGCCTGCAAAAATAGCGGTTTGTGCGCGAAACACGGGTTCTCCTGTGGCACCATGGAGGAAACAGAGCTTCCCGATGGAATTGCAAGGGCAAGGGCCAGGCATGTCGAAGCGGGCGAGCCATCGAACAAGTTAAGATAGCATCTAGCGAAATTCAACTCCAGCGATCAATCAAAACACGACCGAATAGATGCATCTTGGCATGTAACATGCAACAGCCCGTGGACGCAGACACGCGCCTGCGACACAAATCCGTGCAAGAAACTGCGCTTCTATGCATGCGGAGCAGTCAGCTCACACATGTCTCTACGTAGTGAAAGTGGAGGTTTTCCTACCAGAATGAATTTAGATGTAGTCCGGGAGGTTGAACTAGATGGAGGTTTTACTATAATAATTCATGGAGGCAACCAAGCTTTTCCTCCCAAAAATAAAGAAGACGCACTTTTGTTATGCTCGTGACTTCTGGAAATAGAAGGAGAGAGACGTTTACCCATTCAGTATCGAAGGACACAGAGGCACCAGAACAGCTAGAGGTTGTTTTAAAATTGCAGATATGGAGGAAGACGTGGTTTGCCTTAGAAAAATGTTTCGAGGTACAGAAGAAGCCGAGCTCTCCATTAGATAGCAACGCATAAAGAGGATTGCAGGTTAAAGATTGAGTTTTTTTTTTTTTCGGTGATGGTGTTGTTTAGTCGCTTGAATGCTTTCGAAGAATTGCAGTGCCCAGGTTGGAGCTCAACCCTGGGGTTGTCAAGGACCGGACAGCCGCTGCTCAAGATCGCTTCCGCAATCAGAATCAGAGAAAGGACAGGTCAATGCAGAGCTTGCGTTGAGCTTGCGTTTGGCCAGGACATCCATACGGAAGGTGGCACAATGCTGATCAGCGATAGAGGCAACCCGCAGCACCTGGAAGCTTGACAGCACTCCTCCAGCTTGGCCGAGCATTCCCACCGCAACCTGAGCAAGTTGCCATCTTGTGCGGGGTGCCGGACACGGCTTCAAGAGTGTTTTGGAGCGTTTGCCAATTTGATCCGAGGACATGGCCAAAATGCTCCAGAGCCAGAACATCCGGCAGTACTTCGTTCTAGGTGGGGCCCAGAGTCTACTTGAGCTAGTCATTTTTGCGCTACGTGACCCGCTTGCCCAGCGGCGCGGCAGCCCAGAGCAGAGATCGCTGTTAGCGAAGCTTCGCACAAGCCTTCTCTTTTGGGGATCGTAACACGCAGGCTCACGTACAGAAAAGACCGGCAAAACAAGCAGGCAGGGTAGAGGTGAGGGGAACAGAGGGGAAGGGGAACAGAGGGACGAGTGAGGAGGGGGAGGGGGAGCGGGGGGAGGAGTGGGGGAGGGGGGAGGGGGGAGGGGGGAGGGAATTGCCCGAGATGTCCCGAGATGGCAACCTCTGCAGGGCGGCGGACTTGGCGATATTGTCACTTAGTTTGCCCATGCAACTTTGTATGTGCTTGTTTGCAGGCTCTCGGTGTTTCAGTTGCTGCTACTTGACGGCAGGTGGTGATGGAACGCACAAGGGCGCCATGCAAACCTTCGATGCCATGATGGAGTCTTGGATGAAAACATGTCCAGACAAATTTGGGCTTCCTGAGGAGTAGCAGGTTAGGGTGCCTCTCAGAGGTGACCCTGGGATTGTTGCAAGGATGGGCTTGTGTGATTTTGTGATGCAGCTGCTCCCAGCGATTTGGCATGATCCCACCTCTGTGTTGAACTCTTGACGCGGTTACATTCGGCCTCAGCTAGCAAACACAAACTACACAAACCAAGTAAGTTGCCAAGCATGCAAGCAGAAGATGCATTGCGAACTTGAAGCACACAGTACATCACCCTTTCATGTCCGGCGTTGTTCGACTTGTTTGTGATGGAACCCGGCGTTGCGGTATCCTTGCGTCAAACCTTCTCAGATTTGGGATATCTATTCAGCAACCTGGAATACGACAGCACAGGTTCTGTCGTGTGTGTGGAAGCCACTCCTCGAGGCAATCCTTTGTTGGCCATCCCGCTGGCAAGGTGCTGGACAAAGAAAGCAGCTCAGGAAGGGTGCCGGGATGTGAGATGTGCTTTGGCAACAGCCTTGCGCCGCAATCCCGATAGTCCCCTACTAAGTGTTGACAGCACTTGGATAGTACTGCACATGCTGCATGAGCAGAAGCATGGGCAGCTGGCGTCGATACATCGCCACCTGGAGCGCCTTAGAGGAGTTACAGGAACATTAGTTTCGTGGCCACAGGAGGACATGGAAGTACTGCGACCAAGCTTCTGGTGGGATGAAGGTCGACGAAGGAGGCAGCAACTCGCCATCGATTACTGGGATTTGCGGTCTGATTTAGGTCCGGACGTTTGCAGACACTTGGGAGTCGCGGAAGCCAGCTACAGATGGGGGCATGAAGTCTTGCAGCAACTCGGTTTGAAGTTGTCTGGCGATCCATCATTGGACGTTTTAGTTCCCGGCTTCGAATTTCTTCCAGTGGAAACACAAGCAGAGCCTGATCCATTTGCCCTCCAGTTGGTCGGTGTCCAGAATTCTCCTGTTTTGGTCGTGTCGGCCGGCAAAGACTACGAGAAAGGATCGAGCTTCTTCTTGTCGCACGGTGGTCTCCTTGCCTCATCTGGGGCGCAGCTGGCAGGAAGCGGGATGTTATTGGATCAAGTGGCCGTTAATCCGCAGACGTTCCCGTGGGAAGGCGCCATTCTGTGCATAAATTTGCGTGTGGACTCCATGCAAGAAGATTCGGACGAGAAGGTGCTGTTCTTCTACCAGCTGCAAGAATCCCTGCGACGTGTGCTTCGGGATTCAATGCCAGTGTGGGACATGCCAGGTTTGTGCTTGGCTCAGAATCCTTTGGAGGAGCAGCCGGCCGTTGAGTGTGGACTAGATGGAGAGCTGCTACTTCGTGTCTGCCTTTGCAACAAGCAACCCAACCAGCCCTTGCCATCTCGGTGTCTGCAAGTGCTTGGGATGGCTGCTTTGGCAGATTCCAGTAAACAGCGAGACATCCTCATGCATGAATGCGCCTTGGAGGGTGTTTGGGAGGATGCTGCCTGCGAATCTCGCGGTCTGCGGTTCCTTCTAGATGAGATCCATGCGGCTTTGTTGCAGTATCCGGCGGAGGAGGTCCTGAGGAGCAGAGACTATGAAGGAAGGCCGCGGACAGACGCTCTTTGCTTCGAGGTGCTTCGGCGTGAACGGCAGGTTCTGGAGCGTGCGGCAGAGGCTGGATGCTGACGTTGCGCATCATGATGCTAACCGCTAGGCATTCACTCTATCGAGAATCCCACACGGCATCAGAAAGAAGGAATTCTTGCCTTGAGCGGGGTCGCAGAAAATCGGATGCCTCATAGTGGTCAGAGAATGTCTGCTTCAGACAAGAACCATGTTGCTGTTGCGTTCTTTCGAAACTTTAGCGGGCGTTTGTGCTCCGTAAGATTCGAATTTCAACAACAGGCAGGTCGGGCGCGCTTGGAGCATTTGGATGAGCGTGCAGCAAGCAATTCGAGACCGACGAGCTCATCGCCTCGAGAGCTAGAAAGCTCTTCCAAGCAACTGCGCGACCTTGCCACCCACTGCCTGGCGACACTTTGCCGTGCATTGCTTCGTGTCAACTTTTGTTCTTTTCCATGTTTCCTCACGCCTTTGCAGGGTTTCAGGGTGTTTCAGGGCCACTTGCAGCTTGACTTTGGACATGCATGCGCCTGGTACAAGTAAGGAATGCTTTAGACAGGACTGCTCAGAAATTCGAGGGGCTTGACTGCAATGGACCCTCCGAGACGGGACAGGCGCAGGGGGCGTCAGAAGCGGGCCCACTCGCCAGCATTTCCTCCGCTGTGCAGCTGTGGCTGTTTGTGTGTGTTTTGCCCTGCAGGTCCTGACGCAGCAGCTTGAAGTCCAGTTGGCCATGCTGTCCAAATGGGGTTTCGATCCTTGCCTTCGTTTGGGAGGAGACGACAGGTTTTTGCATTTGGCGCATGTTTGTATATGTTTGTCTTCTATGTTGTTCTTTTCTCGGTCCCTGTCACCTGTTCCCAGATTCCCAGACCGAGGCCCGCTCCAAGACGCATGTCCATCCGCAAGAAGTCTGCGTGCAGGGGCGAGCCGAGGATGCTGGCTTAAGGGCGGAGCTGGCTAAAAAGCAGTGGCAGCTTCGATGCCACTCTGCATGCCATTGATGAAGTGAGCGTAGCTATTGACAGTTCTTGGGGGCAGTGGGTTTTTTCGGAATTGGCAACTTGGCACAGACGCAGGGTGGATGAGGCGTGGTTCTGTCCGGAAGCTGCGGTAAGTCGATAAGGTTGGCTTCTTTGCTCGGGAAAGCGGCTTTCGGGCATCGGACAGCATGTTGATTGCGAGAAAGGGTTGGAGGAGGAAGTGCAGGAAGCAACGATACGAAGAATGCCGTCTGCAATGAGAGCCTGTTTTGACAACCTCGAGTACATATCATCAGAAAGCATGCTGAGAGAAACAGAACTTTGCGACGGATTGGGTATACGGTATCATATGCTCTCACGTCATGGGATAAACTCGATCTGCCATCTCTGCCGGGGCAGTGGGAAGGGTGCATAAGCTGAAGGGAGCACGGGGCGGGTGGGTGGTCGGGCGGTTGAACGGGCAGGGTTTTGTTCCAACTACAACCTCAAAACCGGAGAGCAAGAATGCCAGCGAACCTTTCCAGCAAGAATGGCCTGATAATTTGCAGGAGACCCCCCGAGTCCGAGAGGTTAACGGATTGTTGGGCGGCACTACTGGTCTTTCTTAGGGACATGCTAGGCTTTCGGGCGAGCCAGAGCACAAAACCACTGAAACAACATCCGCCAGAAGATCCCGATTTTTCCCAGCAGGCTTGCGCGAAGCGTGCACTTCGACGGGCATGGCGGGATGCTTGTTTGAGCTGGGGTCTTTACACGTACAGCTACGTGAGTTCGAAGCAGCTCTGGCCGACCTATCGGAGGCAGTGGAACGGGATCCTGACTTCCCAGAGGCCAAGGCCTTGCTCGAAGCCTGCGCAGAGGTTGTGTCTTCAGAGCTGCAGTCCGAGCAGTATTCCTTCAACTGGGCCGATGGAGAGGATGTGCCCAATGTGCCCCCAGATTCGACGGGAGAAGAAGCAGCCGCAGCTTCCACGGATTCCACGGCGCGATCGAGTCGGCGGGCAGCTGGTTCTCCTCGCCACGGCCGCGTTCCGGTGCGGAGGGTCGTCCTGGACCGCAGAAGCGACAAAAAGCCTCTGGGGATGAAGGTGCGACCCTTTTTGAGCGGCTTTGAGGTACAAGAGGTGCTGCAGAATGGGCTTGTCGCCGACTGGAATTCCGCCGTACCGACTGAAGCGTCCATATGCCCTGGCGATAAAGTGGTGCAGGTCAACGACCTCAAAGCTGAAGGTCACATGCTGTTGGCAGAGTGCAGTATCTCAGAAGATCCCAGAAGCACCACATTCTACACCTACAGTTGTGTTTGCGTACAGCTAAACACTAAGTGGCCGTGCCCCAACTGTCCCAAGGCAAGAAGCAAGTGCTGTACTTGGTTCTGGCACCTCGGGAAGATCCTGACATCGCCGATAGCCCGCCAAAGGCTGAACCAAGAAGCGAGCACCCGGTCACTTTGAGCTACACAAGTTCGCTTTGATGCGAGTTCCTTGTGTTTAGAATGGTTAATTTCAACGGTCTCGCAGACGAGCACATCATCAAGACATAGCAAGCAGCACGAGGCGGCAGGTCGCATAAAAGAGCACATTACGTAAGGCAGCAAGAGACTGGAGGGAAGAAATTGCACGGAGGCGGCAGGTGCAGGAAGGCAGCGCAAAACCACATGGCAGGAATATGAAAGGACATCGAGGCCGCAGGAGAGTGACAAAGTTCATTTTGAATGCTGATGTGGGCATGTCCAATAGTCATGATTACCAAGCTCAGAGGCCCAGCATATGCCAGCATCCGAGGAGACGGCAACTTGGAGCGACGTTGCGCTTCAGCGGCTTTTGGGCTTTACCCCGCCCTGCTTGTGCGACTGGTTGTGGCATGCAACGGCGCCGCTGACAGCTCATGCAAGGGCCGTAGAGAAGATGGCGGTCATCCATTTTCAGGGATGTACCTGGACGAATGAAGTCAATCAGGTTCTGGCGAAGAACCTAGGCTGCCAGCGGTTCAACTTCAAGGCAACCGTGGCTGACACTCTGAAGGGGCTTGATGCTGTCATTCTGCCCTTGGTTACAGCTCAATCCCAGGAAGACCAGAAGAGCTTAACAGCCCTGCCTCTTCAAATCCTCCAGTTTCTAAGTGTGGTCGGGTCCGCGCCTATTCCACTTCGAATCGTCGCCCTGACTTGTGGGGCGCATGGCCCAGACTGCGCTGGAGCAAGGGACGATGGCTTCGGCATGCCAGCTGCCGCATGCTTACGGGGCATGTTCCGATGCTTTCGCATTGAGCACCCCGGGACCCCAATCCTCCACATTGACACGGATGCCCTCGGCATACCCGGCAAGGCGCAGGAGCTGCAGACTCAGGTTGAGACGGAGTTAAATCTGGCAGGTACTGACAGTCAAGCCTTAGTCTACACGGGCCGGGAGGTGGCCTACCGCAAGGGTCGCCGTTTCCTGCCCAAGTTGGATATTTGTGGGCAGCGTCCTCCGGTTGGGAAGAGGTTCGTGTCCAGCGAGGGCGTGGCGCTTATCACAGGAGGCACGGGTGGGCTGGGCATCACCACTGCAGAAGCCATGGTTGAGGCTGGAGTCCGCTGTGTTGTGCTTTCCTCTCGCTCCGGTGTTATCTCGTCTACAGCCCCTGGAAACTTGGTGCAGCGCGTGGAGAAGCTGCGTGAATCAGCGGCCATCATCTTGGAGGCATGTGATGCGTCAGATGAGATGCAAGTTATTTCCATGCTGAATCGACTGCGGGAGCACCATGGCTCCCTGCGATGGGTTGTGAATGCGGCTGGCATAGTTCTCCCCAACAATCCTGACCAGCTGGAAGCAGTCTTCATCCCGAAGTGTATAGGCGCCTGGAACATGCATAAGCACACGCATCAGGACGACCTTGAGGCCATGTGGTTCTTCTCCTCCCTTTCTGGTGGTGTTGGCTCCGAGGGCATGCACAACTACGCGGCGGCCAATGCCTACCTCGACGAGTTGTCGCGGCTGCGGCGCTCCCAGGGTTTGCCGGGTGTCAGCCTGCAGTTTCCGGAGGTGGAAGAGGCTGGCATGGCGGCGGCCTTCGGTGCCCGAAGTAGCGGGGCGACCGTCAGCCTTGCCGTCGTGAGGAGGGCCATCAAACAGCTGATGCTGGGTGAGGGCAACCCGGCTGCCGTTGTGGCTTTGCTTCCTGTGGGCTATTTGATCCCGCGGTCTGTCTTCCACATGACGGCGCTGGAACCATTGAAGGCCCGAGTGGATCAGGATCTTTGGACAAATCTGGAGAGACTGGAAGTCGAGAAGAAGGAGGAGGTGAAAGGGATGCGCAAGGAGATTTCAGAAAGAAGGCAAGCGGCACGTGCACAGCGTGCACAGGCTTCCCTGCAAGGCTTCTGAACTTTTTCAAGGTGCAAGCATCTTTGAAGAAAAAAAGCGCGTGCGTTTCGGGAATAAGCGTGGCCTCCGTCGGTGGCATGCAAAAGGGCGGACTGCAATCAAAAGCACGACTCTGGCATGATTCTGTAGGCCTAGCATAGGCATGGGCTTGTCAACATGATTTCGCACACTTCCGATGCCAATGCCTTGAAGTCTTTTGACCAAATCATGCTTGGACGACCCTGGCACGTTCAACTCTCAGGAGATCGACCATGAGTGTGCAGTCGTCGGCGTGCCGAAGACAATCGACAACGTGACTCGCTTGGGGTTGCTGATGGGATCTGTGCTGAATTGTTGTGCTCCTGCATGTTCTTGCCCCTGTGTCTGAGGATGTGCCCATGATTGATCAGACCTTCGGATTCGACACGGCCGCCACAGAAGCAGCCAAGGCTGTGAACACCGCGTCTGCTGGCAATGAAGTTGTGCTTCATATGAGCCGTTCTCTTGTCCCTGTGTGCAGCACGGGCAACTACTAGTGTTTGGCCCTGGAAAGCTAGCAAAGGTATGTTGAAGCGAGGGGCAACGTTCCCCAGATGCAGTACAAGTGGGTGGGAAGGCAGAGCAGCAGAGGTACGACCAAAACGTTGAGGTTCGCAGAAGCCGAATGTCAGGCAGTGCAAATCACTGCGCGAAAGTTGGGGAAGGTTGGGGTGTTTTTTTTTTGAGAGCTCGGCGCCAAGGCCAATTGCATTGGGCTTGTGAAGCTCATGGGGCGCCACTGTGGTTTCATCGCGATGAATGCAGCACTGGCGGCACGCAATGTGGACATCTGTGCCCTGGCCATGAATCCCCCTAGCGTGGCAGAGCCAGTAGAGTCAGCAGAATAGCAGATCTATCCAGGGCGGTAATATGCATGAAGGCCTCATCCCAGAAATGGACATTGACTTTGAGAAGGCAGGACGCGCTTGCATTTTTGATGTGATGCATGTGTGTGTGTGTGTTCAGGCACGCCGCCGTCATTCTCTCTTTGTGCTGGTCGATGAACTCTTCAGCCCACTGGCTGTGAAAGCATGCCGTGAGCAGGTCTTGAAGCACACGGAGCACTTGATGCGTACGAAGGGCCATGCCGTGATTGTGGTGGCAGAGGGCTGTGGCGACACCTTGATCAAGAGTTCTGGCGATACGGACGCAGGCAGGGTGCGCCAGGGCTTCAGCCAACCGCATTGAAACTGTCGAATTGCGCGGCTGCGCCGTGCCCAAAGCATCCTTTGCCAAGTCAGTCCTTTCACTAAGCAAGACACGCGGTGTGCATGTGACATGTGGTCCTAGTCTAGTATGCAGAGAGAGGTGGCAACAAGATCCTCGCAGATGTGGGTCCGTGGTTGAAAGATGCGATCACAGCTCACTTCAAATCTCTCAGTTTGCCGCTGACCATCAAGTACATCGACCCCACCTACATGAGACTTGCTTGAGAGAATGGACTTGCATCCTTTCTTCCTTCTGTGTTGCACGTGCAGAACTCCTAGCAGGACTTGTTGCCAAGGATCCGTTCTGTCCCGGCCAATTCCTTCGACAGCACATACTGCTCCGTGCTCGGGCAGATGGCCGTGCATGGTGCAATGGCTGGCTACAGTGGCATCACTGTGTCATGGCCGAAACATGTGTCCAGCGGACTAGCTAGCTCGATGGAAACGGGGAAGAGAGTTCGCTAATCCTCGTTGCTGTCGACGCCCTACATGCTCACATGCTGGTTCCCATGCCGACTTCTACTTCAAACTTGTCAGGTGGGAAAGATCTATGAGCGCCACTTGGCCCTTGTCTGACTGCAAACACGGACGAAATAAAGCCACTGCTATTGACACCTCATGTGGATTGCAAGGCTATTGCTACCTGCCCATCCATGCCATCACAAATCAGAAAGGCAAGCGTCGCCGGCCCAGAATGACAGGCGCAGAGTTTGCACGACAGAACTGTTACACGTACAGCTCAGCCATGATGACTCGAGTGACTCAAATTATTGTTTTGCATGAACCGACATGAATCATCATAAAAACCTGAGGTGTGAACCCGAACGGCCGATGGTTTTTCCGCATGCGAGAGTCTACGAAGCAGCCGGACTTCAGCCGCTGCCACGGCTTTGTCAAGGGCGCCCGCCAGTGTGCAAGTGACTCTACGAGCAAGGCCCAGCTCTACCTTCTTCGCCGTCGAAGTCTTCTGGTGGATCACAGGATGTGCTGCAGGTTCGGCTGCTGTCAGAGCTTTGCTTGAAAGTGCCGGGTTGTTTGAAGCTTGTGAGCCAGCAGCGTCACCAGACAATTTGTGGTATCGGCTCAAGCTGTGTAGCTCGGTTTCAACGGTTGCTGGTCTCGACAAGAAGTCAGTGATGTTAAAATCTTGGGTCCAGCGCCTGTGCGTTGTGTGGAGTCAACGAAGTGAAGAACCCTTTGCCAATCTTGCCCCGGAACCACAAAAGGAGTAGCAACGTGTGCTGCATCTCGTTTCGGCAAGATGATCCATCAGAATCCGTGCATCTCACTATCTCTCATGTGGTTGGCACAGCATCCTCTTCTCTGCCAGAGGCCTCACCTTTGCACGCTTGCACGTGTGATGTTGCTGTGCACGGCGTATGCGGTTTCACCGAATCACGCAGCTGGTCGCAACTCTTGCCTCCGTAAAGGTGACATGGATTTCCGGTCTGCGGAGCTGCTGGCTGCCTGGGCACCTGACTCGGGAATCTTGCAGTTCATACGTCCTCCAACTTCAGCTTAATGCTTAATGCACTTGCACGATTGAAGCCATTACCGAATTCTTGAGGTGCTTGCACTGCTGGTTGGTTGTCTACACTATCTGGAGGTCTCAGGCGCTCTTTGTCTTGGAAGCTCTTTGTCGATGCTTTACATGCTCTGCAGCCCTTGCAGGATATAACTGCGTCACCAAAGGCCTCTCCGTGGCAGAGCAAAAGGAGGCATTTCTCAAAACCGAGAGCCTCGAACAGGAGCACTAGTGCAAAACGGTTGTCACTGTCGAGACAGGCTGTTGTGGGATAGGCTCATGCTTGTCGGAATCAAGGAATGCATTCTACTACTCTTACTACGCCGCTCAGCTGTGCAGAAAATGAAGATACTTTGGGCCATTGTGGCCTGTGGCAAAGACATCTTCCAGCAGCACGGGGTTCTGTCGGCTTGAATGATGCCCCTTCCTTGCTTGCAAGGAAGAGTTTGTGACTGCGCCGGACCTTGGCACTGCGCTGGGGACAAGCCTCTATGACCGCCGAAGCGAGGCTCCAGACACCATCAATGCGCTGAAGCGCTCAATGCTCAGATATGCTCAGAGAAGTGCGGTGTATCGACGTTTTCGCACGTGTTTTGCCTGACGTCGCTTGTTCCACCTGCGCAAAGCATACACACCAACTTCGGGCGTGTCAAGAGCAGCTTTTCTTAAATGTTGGGGCCCCGCAAGTGTGGCGTCGCAGGTCGGTGGCATCTCAGCCTCCACTCAGCCTCCTGTGCCTGCCAAATCTTTGCCGTTCCCACAACTCTTTTTTGCGTAACTGGTTCGTGTGCCCTCCGCATCTGCCCCTGACATACTGATGACCCAATCAATGGATTCGTTGGTTACTGTCCCCCCCTCAGATTGTGGGCCCATTTTTTTTTCTGTTGTCAAGTTCAAACCCGCCCCCCCCCCACCCCCTTGCTGTCCCGTTTGTTGGTGCTTGCGTCATCCTTCAGTACCCAATCTGTGGAAGTTGTTTTCTTGCGTGGGCATGATTCGTTTTTCGCCGCTCTCTGAAGCTGCGCGAAAGGTGGTCTTTGCACTTGATGCTTCATGGAAGCAGTATGAAGCAGTGTCTGTCTGAAGTGATGTGGTACGCTCAGTGGCTTGAGCGTGCACGGCCACACCCTTTCTATTACTAATCTACATCTGGAACCTTTCACGGAGGCTACGCAGTGAAATGTGGGGCAGCTTGGGGTGGGGCCTGAACCATGCCCGGCATTCAGCATCACATGCCTAGTGGTGGCTGAGGCTTCAACGTCTACCAGGAGGTGATTTGTGGACTGTTCTACCGCTTTGCCGTTTGGCTGTGCGGGCGTCATGACCCCAGGAAGCCCTTGTCCTTGTGGAACGTTTTAGATGCAATTCGCTAGAGGCCAGCGCCAGGTAGGTATGATGACTTTGGGCCAGTAGGCCAACTATAGGTGGATTGTTGCTGTTGCTGTAGGCCAGAATGTGGTGGACCCTTGGTACTTCTTCCGCAGCTGCAGCTACGTGGCTTGATGCATCAGATGCATCTACAGAGGCTGAGAATTGTCGTGTGTCAGCACGACAGCGTTGAATGAAATTCTGAGTTGTCAATGAATTCAGGTATTGCAGGGCCTGGGCCATGTAGGGCTACTCCGCCTGGCAGCTGCTTTAGGCGGGGATGGCCTTCTTGGTGGCCTGGTGCCAGGCGCGTGCCGCGGCACCCGAGAGTACGTGTTGCATCTGTTGTATCAGTTGTATCCCTCATGCCTCTGTAGGCATCTCTCTCTTCATCCTGGCATTTCTACACCGGCTGGACTTCAGCCGTATCCACGACGTGGGCATGCTGGAGTTGCGCGAGCCTTTTGCCTGCACTTGTCACAAGTATTCGGATAGGTCAACACAGATCCCTTCCAGTACCACACGCTGCCACACCATGCCAAACACACCACGGTGCTCATACAGGTGTGAGTGAGTGAGAGAGTGAGTGAGTGAGCGAGTGAGTGAGTGACTGTCGTTGAGCTTCACGGTGTACATAGCCTGCTACGCGTGCAGCCGAGCTGGCGACGAGGAACTGGGCCATGCCGGTCATCCTTTGCCAGGCAAGCGCTTCAGAAGCTTCAGGTAGCAGTTGCGGGGTGTAGGTATCAATATCTATCCTCGGATTGCCAGCAGCTACCTTTGGATGCTACCTTTGGATGCTCCTTCCTCCGAGCCGGTTCGGCAGGTGTGTGCCCTGACTAAGCTGCTGATGACGCATCCGGCGCTCTGCCAACCGTCCTGGGATGCTTGACGAGCCAAAGTATCGTGGTGGCGAACAAAGGTTTCCGGCTGTTTCTGAAGCTCCGTGTTGAGGAGTTTCTGGGCTGGCGATGGGCGTTTCGATTGCTGACAGCGGCTCGCCTCCTTTTTGCCGTTGCAAGCTCGTGCCGGTTTGTTGTCATTATGCCTTGGGGCTGGTTGAAGATCTTGCAGTGATTCCAGGATGACAGCCGAGGTGGTGTGTATCCTGGCCGCTCGGCTTCTTCCCAGAAGGATCCAGAGGGAGAAGGCTGTGTTCCAGGAGTCATGCTGCAAGGCAGCCGTTGGCTGGTGACGCCTCAGAGCTGTCGAGTGCCATGAGACAGCATGCGCACGCGACTTCTCCAAGGTCTGGCAGTTCTCTGCCTTCGCGTTTCTGCTGCAAGTGTCAGCAGCCTTCTTGTGTGCTCTTCTGGCTTGTCACCAAGGTGCCTGCGCGACATCTCAGAACCGCTTTTGCTTTTTGATGCCGTTGCAGACGTTGCGGTTCAGAAGTTTCACTCTGTGCAATTGCCGGCTTCAGGTGCGAGACTTGCGATGAACGAAGTCGTGAACTCCCACTTGGTGGCGGTGTCAATTTCTGCAGTGCTTCTTTTTGGAAACGAGCTCCTGGTACACCACTTGCTGGTGACACAGTGCATCGCGATCAAGAACCTTGAAAGCCAGGGGTAAGGGTCGTCTGTGCTGGCTAGTGTGCAACTCTTGGGCATGTGTCTGTCGACAACGGCTTAAGCCAGAGTGAAATGCCATGAGAATCAAAGGCTTTGTCTGAACCAAGGACGGTCCTTCATTTGCGCTGTGCCCCAAGGTGGAAGCTTCTCTTCTGGGTGGATGGAGCTATAGCTGCGGCCTGGCTTGCTACAGACATGTACAGACTACATGCGTCCGCAGTTCATAGGCAAGATATCAGACGAGACTCTGTGATGCACTTCCACAACTTGCTGCTCTTGAGGTGATTCTCTTCGTGCTGTTACGCATTATTCAAATGCCGTTTGCAACTGCAGATGAGCATGTTTGGGAACTTTATGCGTCAGCTCCTGAGCAACTGTAGCGCCCATCATGGGTGCGACGGGTGAGACGTTGGCCGTGCGCATCCGTGCGCGCTGCAGACTTCAAGAGGCAGCACTTGCAGGCTTGCAGGTGATGCTAGCGCTGTGCTTTCCAGGAACAAGATGCGGACCCTTCTCCCGTCCTATCTTGGCAAAGAGCACAAGGAGCCGACGTTTAATACAAGGCCCGGGTACAGCAGCTGCAGAAGCCGTCAGTCAGCATTAAACTAAACTCATGGTCTTTCTGAGCCTGCAGCCAGGCTATACAACGCTGTCAGCGTTTTTGACTTCATCAGTTCTGACCTGAGCTGTGGGAAGTCTTGCATAGATGTTTGACCGTCTTGTCTGCTCTGCTTGGCCTTTGAGGTTGGAAGAACATCGAAGTCGGTTTTCAAACAAAAGTCTACCATTTCGCGGCTGCAGCTGCCATCGTTCATGCAGGCACAGCCCTGCCATTTGCAGCTTTCGCCTCGCCATTTGTAGCTTTCGCAGACATTGTCCTGGTTTGGCGAGGTGCCTTTCTGGTCAACATACTACCGCAGGCAGGACACAAAGAGAAGGCACTTGGTGAAGGCCTTGAGCCTCCTGCGCGTAACTCAAGGGAGCCTAGCAGTGTGCCGCTGAAAGTTGATGTGTAAACCGAGGGAGGTGTGTGAAGTGCAGCCCAGAAGTTCTGCATCAGTACAGTGTGGCAGTAGGCGTACATGTACCTTAGTTTCATGCACTGCACAGAACCCTTTTTCAATCAGATGCCAGGCTACGCGCACGTCTTCAGCTCCAGCGTGCTGCTGGTGCAGACGGCTCTTTTTCTCGTACTCGGTTGCTTTATAAGCCGATTAAAATGTACTTTGGCTGCAAAGGCGTGTAAATCTAAGGCTTGCTAATTGCTTCTTCTCCCTTTGCATGGTGTGTATTGAGCTGCAAGGCATCGGCGTTCCCTTTCTGCTGGTTTGGGCTGCGGCGGGCTTGGGCCCTCGACCGCTGACTACATGTTTCGGCCCTGCGTCGGGTGGATCGCGGCTGCTGCGAGCGCTGCGGACTCCTAGCTGGTCCCAAAAGCACAGTGACAGTGCGCAGCATCACTGCTCGCCAAGGTTTCTTGAAAATGTATCAGATAAGGAGATGCTCATGTTGAATAAAGTTGTGGCGCAAGGATCGGAATCTTCGCGGCTGCCGCGGCAGCTCAGCTGGGGCAGCTGGTGTTTTTAGCATACAAGCTGCCCTTCATTGAGAACAGGCATGCGAGTATCTTGGTTGCAGTGCTTATCTCGACATCTCGGTAGCGGCTCTTGCTCATCTCCGACAAGAAGCCTATGAGATTCCACAGGTAGCTGTACTTTAGGCAAGAACTCGGCTCACTGCCACATCATGAAGTCAGCTCAACTTTGGCAGCGCTTCTGTACTCTGAATCCTGACGCAGCGTATTTTGGCATATTGCTGTGCCTGGAGGTATTCATGCAGATAAGTCTTGGCCGGATGGGGATCGTGGCGAGTTCTTCAACTGGATGGTGCATCTCGACGCAGCAAACGTCCACCGTGGTCTGCCTTGACTGGCTTTGTTGGCATAGCTGGACTTCGTTGTCGAGTTGTGTGTTGCTTTCGTTCGGGGCTTCGAAGAGGCAGAATGTCCCTCGAGATGAGATCGTCCTCGCGGCCATGCCTCTCAGTGCAGAGCTGCGCCTGACCACGCCGCTGCGCGTGGCCATCCACCCGCAGTTCGAGGCCTGCAGCCTGAAAAAGTGTGCCTCCGTGGCGGCAGTAGTGACACTTCGGAGTGCCATTGACCACTCAGGCACAACATCTGCGTGACCGTGTGCAGGACACCTGTTCATGCAACGCTCCTTCATGGCTTGCTGACTTTGTCGGGCCTGGGAAAAAGTGGGCATTTGCAAGCACATCATACAACCAGTGGCCACAGCGGACGTGTCGTCCAGGAGCTGTACCAGTGGTATCAGTGCACTCCTCCGGCAACCCGGCAGTACTTCGGGAGGGTGGTGCAGGGACACCGCTAGTGACAGTTTGATGACTCGTCCGCTCCACTGTTCGCTCCACTGTTCGCATGGAGGCGAGCTTTGCCAAGACAATGCAGAAGTACGGGTCTCAATACGTGATCCTGGAGTTCAAGCGGTGCAGTCCACACCCCAGTTTGCCGCTTTGCTTGCCAGTGCAAAGATGCCCAAGCATCTGGCACACTGTGATCAGGTTTTGGCCCTTTCCTGCTGGATAAATACCCAGAGGTGAACTGCAAGGAGCCAGCTTCTGCGAGATCATCTACAGAGTCTGCAGAGCAGGGGGTGAAATTTGCCCAACATGTTTGCATGTTGTTCCTGTCTCGCAGGAGGGTGAGCGCCCGTGGCAGGATCTCTTTTGCCCTCGGGCCTTAGCTTCTCCACTATTTGAGCACCTTGTCTTCAGATGGCACCCAGAAAACCGGGTTTCGGGCCTTTCAAGGGCGTGCTCGCCGCGCCCAGCTTCAAACATGTCATACTGCCAGAAGAGGTGCATGGGCCAGGGAAACCATGTCCCAATGATGATTGTGCGACCACGCCCGAAGGATGATGGCGAAAGCACCCATGCGCGAAGCATATTGTAGTTATACATCCTTGCAATTGGTACGAGTGCATCCATATGCCGAAGGATGATTGTGTTCATGCTGCCAGAGCATCCACACAGTCAGAGCATCCATACCCGAACGATGTTTTGGACGTGTGCCATTTGGCCAGAGCATCCATTTCCAAAGTGTGGTTGATTCTTTGTTGTGTGCCAACGTGTGTTGATTTTCTGTGGTCAGGTCTCTGCAGAGTGTAGGAGGCCGAACACGTGCCAAAACATGCAATGAATGCACTGGTGTCCTTCCCGTGGATGGCGCACAAGACTTTTTTGCGCCTTTCTAGCGGATGCATGATATCTGCTGTGATGGAAGCCGGCTTGCACCCCGCACGTTCTACCACAATCTACTACGCCTGACCTTTGTATTCCTTGGTCATTAAGTTTATGCACAGGAATGACGCAGCTTTAAGCTCCAGCAGCCCACTACCATCCTCAGGATACAAGGGGGCAAGGGTAAGGGCATGCTCCCCAAACAAGCCCAACCATGCCCTTCAGAAGCCTTACAAGGGCAATGCCTCCCCCCACCCCTCAGCCCCTCCCTTACACTTCCCTGCATCCTGATGCCAAAAATTCAACAAATATCAACATGTACTTCCACACAGGTTGGTTCCGAGCAAGCTTTGCAAACGAAGTAGGGATGGTGTTCGCAGAGGCTTCTATGGGCGAATGCGGAGTTTGCGGTCTTGCGGCTGCGCCGACGGGAGGAGCTCCAAAATTCGGCTGTTCTGATGACTTGAAACGCCCGCCCTCCTGCAAGGAGGTACCAAAGAGTGCCAAGGCGGGCAGCGTCGAAAACATTCAAACCTGGGAGCCCATGCTGCGCCGCTGCCTTGTCGAGGTGCAAGTCCACAAAGTCATGCGGTGTTGTGGGGTGTGACAATGCGTGCGACAATGCGTGACGTGGTTCATCGTGGCTCACTTTGCAAAGCTTCAGAGGAGCCTGGGCACTGCGCGGCGCGTGCTGCAGATTTGGCGCTGTCCTTCCGGAAGATGGGCCAGGGCAAGGCAGGAAGTAAGATTGAACGGGGGGAATCCGTCATTGGCTAAGGCAAGGGCAGCTCTGTTGTTGCTTTCCGGCATCTGCAGCACGAGGTCAGCCAAGTGCTTTTTCAGTGGGCAGAGCAGTTTCTCGGTGGAGCTTTGGCTTTTGCACGTGCTTTTTTCAAAGTCTGCGTGGCCCTCTTCTGCGGGAATCGCCCGGTATGATTCCATCTGATCAGGCATGGGTCGGAGGATGCTGCTTATCAGTACATCCGCGGGCCGCAGGCTCAGCATGCAAAGGAGAGCAAATTTGACTCGGAGATCTGGCTTTCGCAGTTTTGACTTGCCAAGGCACTTTGTGAAGACTCCCAGCTAAGGCACCACTTGGACTATGACCTGGACAAGAGCGAGCGCGCAGGTCCCTACTACCAGCGGGCCTACGAGTTGGACCCGAACAATCCCGTCTTCCTGTTTCTTGGATTCTGCTTTTCCTGCCAGAAGATGCCAGTACCTGCAGGAAGGAAGTAAAGCTCTCTACAGTGATAAGTGCATTGTTGAGCGTTGTTGGCATCTTGGCTCAGGAAGGAATATCTCATGTGGCTTGAGCTCATTGCCAAGGAGCCACCAGTCAGCGACCGGATTACAGAAAGGTTCCTATAAGCGGCAGGTTCTGCTTGTGACATTGTGAGGACAACCGCAGCCTGGTGGAGCTATTGGGGCCTCGTCGTGTGCGGCGGAAGGTCGGGCATGGGAGTGCAGACTTTTTCAGAGGTTGCAGTGTGTTGGGGTTGTGTCTGGGAATTGGGGCATCTCCCCTCTGAATGCTTCAGAAGAAGCTGGTTGCTGATCGTACCAAGCCTTGCTCGTGGCATGTCGTGGCATTTAAGGCCCGCAAGACGTTGCCAGAACTGGGTGATCCAGCCTTGGCATGCGAGGTCATCCGGCTTGAGCAGTCATGCAAGTAGTCAGTGAGTGCCTCATCTTCCTCGGATTTCCTGAGCCTATTCACTTGTACCCAAGGCGTCGATCACCACCCGAGAGTTGCTTCAGGATCATGTTGCTTAGCCGACTTAGCCTGCAGCAGAGCACGGGCATCGTGGCCAGACCATCGTTTGACGCATCACCGCAGTTGAAGCTCAAGGATTGGTCGCGCGAGCTATGGTCTTATGCTCTGGAGAACGGGGTGCCTTTGCTCAGACCTTGTTGCTGGTGAGCCTTGCGAGTGACATCACAGTCACATCAGGTTTGCAACCAGTGTGTGGAGAACAACTGGGCGCTGCATGCTCCAAGTGGGCGGAAAATGCGTGAGGACGTAGGTCGGCAAGATTCGGTTTCCGGGACAAGAGTTGAGGAGTGGCCCTGGCTTTTGTGGCAACTTCAGTGTCTAGCCCTGCCTTCAGAAAGGGCCAGGTGCTAGTACTGCTGCAGCCCATGGTTTGCAGGCGACTGGCAGATCTTCCTCAATGCTTTCTGGCATCGCGCCATGAGAAGTACAATGATGGGCGCGACAGGCCCGAGATTCCCAAGTAATTATATTAAATGGACGCAGAACGAATGGGTGTTCTTACGCAGGGTCTGGACATCCACAGAAGTTCGGATGGAAAGCAAACATACACGCTCTTCTTATACACATGCGAGCAGTACAAGACAAGTACCACAACAGTTGACGCATGAGTCAAGGGCTTTGTGCTTGTTGCGCAAGTGCAGCACAGATGTTGGGGTTGTCAGGCAATGCTGGGCGACACGGGGCCTATGAGCGCCGGGTTAACAGAACCTGGAGCCTGCAGGAGATATTTGCTTAAGAAAAGGTTCGGCTGCCGATGTAGGATGGGGCCAATGTGTGCCTGGTCTTGATGGTGGTCGCTTGTCCAGAAACGACGGGATGCAAGCGGTGAGAAGCCGGTGTCTTGCACGGAAAGGCGCTGTCCAAACACAGCAGTATCAACGAGCTGCTGCAGACGGGCGACACCGTCAAACGATTGGAGGCCGCATCGTCTTCTCTTTTTTCTTTCCATGCACTTCCAAAGACTATAACTCGGCATAGGTACAGAGACAGGAATGTCATTGATAAGCTCTACGATGTAAGCCATGCAAGCCGCAACAGTATTGCCCTGCTAGCTGACCTTCCGACACTTCAGTTCAAGAGCCGTCATCTGCAGGCGATCGCAGCATTACCTCGCACAGAGCTACGCTTAGGGATGTTCAGGCCCACAACGATGCACTCAACGTCAACATATGTAAGCGTGAGGGCCGATCTTGAGTCGCTTCATAAGGCCGGAGCGCACGAGACACCGCTTACATGCATTCCAGCTGGACCAGATGATTTTGAAACAATGAAACCTCATACCAACCTTATTTCTCGGCACAGCCTTTCACACCTGCGCGCTTAAACCTTTCTGTCGGCTTGAATCATCACACCCTGGCGATGTGACACCCGAATACGATTGTACGGCTTGCCTATTGCGCCTTGCTTGAGCACGGCAAGCAGCTATCGGCACGCGTGCTGTGGATTCTTGTGCAGCATGGAACCACTATTTGCAGTCTTTGCGACTCGCACATTTGTGAGAACCATCTTGTCCCTGCCTGATGAGGTTATTAAAAAAACCCCATCCCTTCGAGTCAGCGGAGCCACCCCTCAACCTTCCAAACCAATGTTTAGACTTGATTCTGAGAGGTCGTGAACTTGGGTGACCTCTTCCCATCTGCTCAGGAGGGCGGGTTTTGAAAGCTTAAAAGTTTCAGTGTTCTACTCATACGTCGGGTAGCCCATGAAGCATGTGCTGCCGCTGCCCGCTTCTTTGCGCTGCGCTCTTGGTCCCCCCCCCCCCCCCCCCCCCCCCACCCTGTGAAGGTCACGAACGAGCTGAGTTTTAGTGGTGACATGGCCATGGGTCCGGACTCCTGGTCCACACAGACGCTCATGCGGCACAACCGCCGTGATGACCGTGGCCACGCGGGGGGCTTAAGCCTGTGGAGTCGTTCGGTATTTGATTTGTGCACTGTGCACTCTAACCCCCCCTGCCTCGACCCACAACGCGTGTTTTGCTAGTTAGCTCATAGGAGACGCCCGCGACTGTCTTGGAATTTGCTGTTGTATCTCTGTGGCGTTGCTCTACATGTGACTATGGGTGGTCTGGATATGTCGGGATTACTGGTTACCGCCTCGATGGATGTAGGCGCCTTCCAAGTGTCACAGGTTTTCCTGCGTCCGCATGCGAAAACAACAAAGCTCGTCGAAAGCCTCAGATGCGAGTCGTCGACGACCCTTGGGATTCTTGCATTGGTGTAGCTTGTTCTCTTCCGTGCAGAAGCACTTGGTGCTTCTGGTTTGTGTTTCTTTCGTGAGCGTCTCCACGCCACTAGCTTCATTTTAAATTTCGGTCAAGCAGTCGGCTTCTCAGCTCGAGGTGAGGTCTGAGAAGACAGAAACAAAGCACAACACCAAAACCCAAACCTGACACGTGCCAGCACCAAAACGCAAACCCCATTTCCGTTTGGCCTTCGAGGGATGAAGGCTGTGGTCTGTGGCATAAAACCCAAACCCGAGCTCCATATCGACAGGGCGGGGGGGAGAGACGCAACCAGACACCTCATACTTACATAGGCCAGCCGGGGATGTCAAGGCTACCTGTTGCACGGACTGACAGACTTGTTTTGACACTCCGAGACCTACCTCCAGCTCTTGCGCAGTGGCCCACGGAAGATGCTCCACTTCGCCGGTGTCCCGGGATGCGAGATGTCAAGGTGCAGGACCGGTGAGGAATTGCACAGATTGGGTCGCGAGTGCGAGCACGAAGGCAGTGGCAGCATGTAGTGAGAGAGCGCAAAGTGAAGATGGGGTACATCGTACCAGCCGGGTAATCATTCGGGTGCTCATGAGGGGGGGGGCGTCAGAGTCATGAGAGCCCTACGAAGCTTCGGCCCAGGTCCCGGCTGGAAGCTCGGCGGTGATCGTCACATGTGGAGGCACTTGTGAGACACTGTGACTGGGGGCTCCTACACAATTCTCGCAGTTGCCTTGGATTTCTGGCCCTAACTGCCCTAACTGCCCTAGCTGCCCTAACTGCTCTAACTGCCCTAACTTGGGAGGCTTGTGTCCGGGACTGAACTCTGCCCGGCCCCAAGATGGAGGAGCTCCAGGTGCTCAGCTGTGCCCAGCCCGTGATTTGGTCAGGTGATTCGCGAGATAGCCCATGCCCCAAGAGAGAAGGGTGCTCCTGTCATGTGCTGTGTGCTGTCCAACATGTGCATGTGATCAGTTGTGGGTGGCTGCACTTCGGCGACTGTGAGAAACACGGTGGTGACACGCCCAAAGTGGCTGAGGTCATGACTCTGGCACGCTACGGTGTGAAGAGTATATACGGTTGCAAGGGTGGCTACAAAGGCGATTCGGTGCATCGAAAAAACCATGTACTTGCTTCGTGACGCCAGAGCTGGAGGCATGGTGCAGCCTGACACGTGGTTGCCGCTCACGCCGGAGTCCGTGCAAGACATCCACAAGGACTGATCAGAGCAGATCAGAGCAGTTTTGCAAGTCGCGTTCGTATCTTTTATGGTTTGCAGGAAGGAGGAACAATCCTCGTCAGCGACCGTGGTGCCTTGGGGCAAGCAGATTGTGGTGCGATGGGGACAGAGGATGCCATGTGGTTTGAGGCAACCCTCCACACTCGGACATTGCGAAGATGCTGCAGGAAAAGCCGCTCGGTTGTCGTGGTATGCTGCTTCGAGCAGAATTCTGTGCATGGACCTCGACCTCGACCTAGCATTTTGTAGCCCAGATATATCCAGATATGTTGGCTGAGGAACATCAAACAATACTTCGTGATCGGTGGAGATGGCACGCAAGCGGGTGCCTTCCAGACCTTCACCTCCACTCAAGAGATTGGCCATGAGGTGGCCGTGGCACCTCCACCTGCACTTGGAAAGCAAGCTCCGATTCCTGTAGCACTGTAGTTGAAGCCGCCAAGCCATGCCAAAGTCGATGCCAAGTCCCGCGTCGCATTCAGGTCGGCGTGCCGAAGACGATTGACAACGACATCCCGATCCTTGACAGGTGGGCCGAGACATCGAATGCTGTGGAATGCTGTGGGCACTGCAGACTCGTTTGGTATTTGTCATGCGAGGTCCTTTGGCTTCAACACGGCGTGCAGCGAGGCTGAGAAGGCAATTGAGAGCTTTGAACTGATCCCTTTGTGCAATGCTTGCAAATGCCTCGGCTCCTTGAAGCCTTGCCTTGCTCTTGGCTCCCCTGCTTCATGTGCCTTCCTTCTGCGTGAGGCCATTGACGCCGCCTATGCCTGGCGCCAGAGAGCGGGGGAGTTCTGAGTTATGCTCATGCAAACATGTGCATAGCAGAGCAGCACCCGCAACCAGAGTGGAGCAGTCACCGTCCAGTCTCTGCTCCAGAAGTTCGCTAAGGTGGAGGCCACATGCAATGCGCACTGCATTGGCCTGGTGAAGCTTATGGGCATTGGGCCCAGAACGACTCTTGTGAAAGTTTCGAAGAGAGGTCCGCCCCAGTCTGGATGCGAGTCTGTGAAAGAGGTCGGCATTGCGGGTTCATCGCCTTGCATGCCACTTTGGCAGCGCGCAGCCTCCTGAGAACCAGTCCAACCTCTTGTGCTGATACAGCATGTCCTAGGAGGTGCATGGCATTTCCACCAGCTGGAGCTTGGAGAGTATCCTTCCGCAGGAAGTGTGGACGTTTGCTTGCTGCCGGAGATGGACATCTCCCTCCCGCGATTGTTGCATCACGCGATGCACTTGATGAAAACAAAGGGGCATGCGGGATCCTAAGTTCCGGTGCAGAGGCATAAGCATGCATAAAACGCTCGTGGGAGCACGGGCAGGAGGCCGGGCCAGGCAGGGTGCTGTTGCTACAAGATTATTGCTGCGTTTGCAGCAGAGGCCGTCATTGTCGTGGCCGAGGGTTGCGGTGACACGTTGCTGAAAAGCTCCGGCGAGCGTGGGCACCTCAGAGCCTGAATGGCCTGAAGGGTCAGCGATGGTCAGCGCACGTCCTGCTACAGGGCTCCACAGGCCTTTACTGTACGTAGCCAATAGTTGACATTGATTTTTGGGATTTGGGGTTCTTTAATTTTCCTAGAAAGTAAAGTTTGACCGAATTTTGTTGTATTCCTTAGTTGTCCTTAGTTATTGGAGAAGTAACTTAGAGTGCTCTGCAGCTTATGCCTCTTTACGATTCTTCTTCCTGCGCCTTTTTTGGCCCTTGAACTCAGGTGACGCGGGTGGCAACAAGAAGCTAGCTGATGTGGGACCATGGCTCAAGGAGCAGCTGTTGGCCTATGCCAAGAGGCCCCCCCCCTTGCTGCTATGTGCCGCCTCTTGTGATGCGTGCCAAGCTCATTCGGCTGCCTCATAGTGCGACCATGTGCATAGCTTTCTTGCCTATTTCTGCATGCTGGTGCACTGCCAGTTTCGGCTGCAACGGTTTGATGAGTGTAGTGCAGCTGGGAGTAGAGCGGGCGGTGTCGGCGCCTTCCCCTCAATTCCAAGATGGCCAGCAAGGCGGAGTACGTGCAGCAGATCAAGAACTTGCAGCGGGGCGACCCTACCTTCAAACAGACTTGGTGGGACTATTGCGAAGCACAACTCGGTGGTGTCCGCGACCCCAACAGGCACGATGAGAGTATTTTGATTGATTTCCTGAAGGGTTACAACAGCGGCACCATTGCCCCGTCAGCTCCACGCCCCGAAGAGGAGTGGTGGAGCAAAGGCAAGGGGAAGGGCAAGGGCAAAGACATGTCCTACAACATGATGCCGCCGCCAGACATGTGGGGAATGCCAGTGATGCCTGGCATGAGCTATGCAGATTTCGTCAAAGTTGGTCAGAGGGTGTCTCCTCATTGGACAAATGCGTGGCAGACTTACTGCGCCTTGTACGGTGCCGGTGTCTACGACCCGTTCAAACATGACGACACCTACCACAGGAGTTTCATTGACTATGTGGGGGAGCTTGCAGCGAACGGCCTTTCAGGCATTGCCGTGTCACAAGGTCTCAACGTAGAAGAAATTACTGCCCAGAGCAGCAAGGGTAAGGGCAGAAGTGTGTTTACAAATGGGATGGGGATGGAGCCAGCTCCAAAGAGATTCCGCTTTGAGGAGGCGGATGGTGCAAAGCTTGAGCTGGTAGAGAAAGTCAAGAACTTGCAGCGGTCCAACCCTCTGGCCAAGGAAGCTTGGTGGGCGTACTGCGACGGCCAGTGCGGAGGCATGCGGGACCCGTTGCGCCATGACACCCCTTCCTTAGAGAGCTTTCTCACCAGCCAGGGAGCTCTCAATTGACAAGCTTTGCACGGTATTGCTTAGGCTTAGGCGCTGCTTTTCGAGATGTGATGCCAGTCGTGACTGGCCAATGGTTTCGACGTAGGCTGCTTATTCAAGCGTGATACGTAGAATCTAATCTAGCTGTGTGAGAGTTTGCCATTTGGCCAGATTGCAGCCCAAATCGATCTTGAGTCCGCGGTGGACGGAGTTACTGTGACACGTGGTGTCATCCAATGCCGAGGTTAGTAGTAGCTGCAGGCTGATCCTGTTCGCTATCCAGTGAAAAGAGCCGGGCTTCTTGCCTTCGTACAACCAGGCTTCCACATGCCACGACGTACGTAGGCAGGCTAATGCAGGCTAATGCAGGCCAGCATCTTCCATTTGTCAGTTTTGGCTCTCGCAGCTGAGGGCCTTGAACATCTGCTAGGGCACAGTTTACTAGATTCATGTCAGTCCTTCTTGGCATTCTGTTCATCACTATACGTTTCCTGGGTAGCTCGCATTTTGCCTGAGTGCCGGCATACGTCTGCTTGGACAGTAGACCAGCACCATGGCGGGCAAAGAGGGTCTGGTCCAGCAGATCAAGAACATGCAGCGCGTCGACCCCACATTCAAGCAGACTTGGTGGGACTTCTGCGAGTCCCAGCTTGGTGGCGTCCGTGATCCCAACCGTCATGACGAGAGCGTGTTGGTCACATTTTTGGAACAGTACAACACCGGCGCCATTGCTCCGTCGCCTTTCCGTGCTGAGGAAGCCTGGTGGGGCAAAGGAAAAGGCAAGGGCGGTGGCGGCGGCTATGATGGCGGCTACGACATGGGGGCATGGGCCATGATGATGGGAGGAGGAGGGTTGGGTGACATGGTGAAGACGGGCCAGCGCGCATCGTATCACTACCGCACCGCCTGGACGATCTACTGTGCCCTCTACGGGGCGGGCAAAAACGACCCGGCCAAGCATGATGAGAAGTTCATCCGTGGATTTCTTGACTACCTCGGGGAGCTGGCTTCAAACGGCCTGTCGTCCATTGCGACCTCGCAAGGAATCAACATTGATGAAATCACCGCCAGCACCAAGCGCCCTCAAGTTGGAGGGGAGCCGCCCGCCAAGAGGTTCAAGGAGGAGCCTCTTGAGATGAAACTCCCGTTGGCAGAGAAGGTCAAGAACTTGCAAAGGTCCAACCCCCAAGCAAAGGAAGCCTGGTGGGCCTATTGCGACTCTCAGGGCGGCGGCACACGTGACCCAATGCGCCATGATACCGACTCGCTGCAGGCTTTCTTGACCAGCCAGGGCGCAATGTGATGAACATGGCCAGGGGTGGCCAAGGCCGTGCACGATTTGTTGCGTGTCCAGCAGATCTTCAGCTGCGCAAGCACCCGCGCTGCTGAGCAGTATGAGGGAGTAATTATGTGCCAGGAGAGTTCCCGCTGCGGCATGAAAAAGTCTGAGCCCGTGATGGGATTGCAAGAGTGAGTGAGGGGGAACTGTACAACTAACGTTCCTGCAGTTGCTACGATTGTTCCGAGCAGTGCGATTCAAACTTCATGCTGAAATTTTGGCTGAAGCAGAAAGGGACCCAGTTCATACTACTATGATTCGCCACTTCTATTTCTGCAGCACATGCGCAAAACAAGCTCCATTGCTACGTCTATGTCACTACTGTAGCGACGTAAGACTTAGTGTGCTGCGCGGCCTGTCTTGAAGAGAAGCAAGTGACCTGGCTGGCGCGATCTTCACCATGGCGGGCAAAGAGGGTCTGGTCCAGCAGATCAAGAACATGCAGCGCGTCGACCCCACATTCAAGCAGACTTGGTGGGACTTCTGCGAGTCCCAGCTTGGTGGCGTCCGTGATCCCAATCGTCATGACGAGAGCGTGTTGGGCACATTTTTGGAACAGTACAACACCGGCGCCATTGCTCCGTCGCCTTTCCGTGCTGAGGAAGCCTGGTGGGGCAAAGGAAAAGGCAAGGGCGGTGGCGGCGGCTATGATGGCGGCTACGACATGGGGGTATGGGCCATGATGATGGGAGGAGGTTTGGCTGACATGGTGAAGACGGGCCAGCGCGCATCGTATCACTACCGCACCGCCTGGACGATCTACTGTGCCCTCTACGGGGCGGGCAAAAACGACCCGGCCAAGCATGATGAGAAGTTCATCCGTGGATTTCTTGACTACCTCGGGGAGCTGGCTTCAAACGGCCTGTCGTCCATTGCGACCTCGCAAGGAATCAACATCGATGAAATCACCGCCAGCACCAAGCGCCCTCAAGTTGGAGGGGAGCCGCCCGCCAAGAGGTTCAAGGAGGAGCCTCTTGAGATGAAACTCCCGTTGGCAGAGAAGGTCAAGAACTTGCAAAGGTCCAACCCCCAAGCAAAGGAAGCCTGGTGGGCCTATTGCGACTCTCAGGGCGGCGGCACACGTGACCCAATGCGCCATGATACCGACTCGCTGCAGGCTTTCTTGACCAGCCAGGGCGCAATGTGATGAACATGGCCATGGGTGGCCAAGGCCGTGCACGATTTGTTGCGTGCCCAGCAGATCTTCAGCTGCGCAAGCACCCGCGCTGCTGAGCAGTATGAGGGAGTAATTATGTGCCAGGAGAGTTCCCGCTGCGGCATGAAAAAGTTTGAGTTTGAGTCCGTGGTTGTCGAGAGTCGTGCTGTGTGCGAGGGAGATTCTTCCACAGAGTTGAACTTGACTTGACATTGTGGCTGAAGCAAAAGGGGCCCTTCGCACACCACGATGATTCCGCAGGTTTAACAGCACATTTTCCTAACATCGTTTTGCCTTCATCCTGTGTTTGTCTGTAGAGAAGTGAGAGGGGTCTCATTCAGCGCAGTCGTGCGGCCGCCCAACTTGAAGAGGAACAAGTGCTTGGCTGTCGCTGACTTTCACCATGGCGGGAAAAGAGGGCTTGGTTCAGCAGATCAAGAACATGCAGCGTATCGACCCCACGTTCAGGCGGGATCGCCCTGCAGGAACATGCATGTTCTAGGCCCGAAAGTTTTGCTTGCCCATCCGAGTCGACAAGCAGCTGCAAAGACGGACGGACATGCTATGGTGCTGGTGGGAGTATGAAGGGGCAGTGTCAGAAAGGAGGAAGAAGAGGAGAGGGCACACCCTCACGGGCAGCGGACAACATGCATCATGAAATAGCGCCGAGCACCGCACAGCAAGGGAGGGAGGGGGGGGGGGAAGGGAAGGGAAGGAAGGGAAGGAGGGAAGGCAAGGGAAGGAAGGGAAGGAAGGAAGGAAGGGAAGGAAGGGAAGGAAGGAAGGGAAGGGAAGGAAAGGAAGGGAAGGAAGGGAAGGAAGGGAAAGGAAGGGAAGGAAGGGAAGGAAAGGGAAGGGGAGGAAGGGAAGGAAGGGAAGGGAGGGAAGGGAGGGAAGGGAGGGAAGGGAGGAAGAAGGGAAGGAAGGGAAGGAAGGGAAGGAAGGGAAGGAAGGGAAGGAAGGGAAGGAAGGGAAGGAAGGGAAGGAAGGGAAGGAAGGGAAGGAAGGGAAGGAAGGGAAGGAAGGGAAGGAAGGGAAGGAAGGGAGGACTATGATTGAGAGCGCCGGTCTCTTTCGAAAGCGCCGCCCGGGGCCGGGGCCAGGGCTTTTGCCCAAGGACTGCACATTTTAGATGGCCGTCCCACTCTCTCCCCCACCCCTGTTCCTAATGCAAAGTTCGTACTTGCATGTACTTGCTAGTATTTGCGCAAGGGCCACAGAGGGCACCGGCCACAGAGGGCACCAAGACAGGATCAAAAAGCTGTCTCTCAAGTGTTGGGTTGAAGGACTGGGAAAACGCTCGTTGCATCATCACAAAAGTCACAGAAGCAAGCAGCGACAGATCGGTCTCTATCGTATGCATTCAAGAGCTGAATGAGACCCGAGGATATGCGATGTGGGACTAGTGGTTGGTAACTGCGAATCCACAACTCTGAAGTGACACTGGGAAATGAACGAAGTGCCTTTGACAATAGACAGTCCTGGAAATCCTACAAGCCTCGTAAAGTCGTACAAGCGGGATCCTTTATCTAAAGAGGAAAGAGGGTAAGTCCGGGTATGCTTTTCTTAACGCCAACTGATCCCACCCTACAGGCAGACTTGGTGGGACTTCTGCGAGTCCCAGCTTGGCGGCGTCCGTGATCCCAACCGTCATGACGAGAGCGTGTTGGGCACATTTTTGGAACAGTACAACACCGGCGCCATTGCTCCGTCGCCTTTCCGTGCTGAGGAAGCCTGGTGGGGCAAAGGAAAAGGCAAGGGGGGTGGTGGTGACTATGGTGGCGGCTACGACATGGGGGCGCAGGCCTGGGCCATGATGATGGGAGGAGGTGGGTTGGGTGACATGGTGAAGACGGGTCAGCGCGCATCGTATCACTACCGAACCGCTTGGACGATCTACTGTGCCCTCTACGGCGCGGGCAAAAACGACCCGGCCAGGCATGATGAGAAGTTCATCCGTGGATTTCTTGACTACCTCGGGGAGCTGGCTACGAACGGCCTGTCGTCCATTGCGACCTCGCAAGGAATCAACATTGATGAAATCACCGCCAGCACCAAGCGCCCTCAAGTTGGAGGGGAGCCGCCCGCCAAGAGGTTCAAGGAGGAGCCTCTTGAGATGAAACTCCCGTTGGCAGAGAAGGTCAAGAACTTGCAAAGGTCCAACCCCCAAGCAAAGGAAGCTTGGTGGGCCTATTGCGACTCTCAGGGCGGCGGCACACGTGACCCAATGCGCCATGATACCGACTCGCTGCAGGCTTTCTTGACCAGCCAGGGCGCAATGTGATGAACATGGCTATGGCCGTACACGTTTTGTTGTGTGCCCAGCAGATCTTCAGCTTGGCGAATACCCATGCCGGTGAGAGAGTATTAGGCATTAGGTACTCGTGCAGCGACTCAAGTGCAGCACCGAAAACAAAGTCCTCTGCAATAGACTCCGCCTGAAGTCTCTAGTGTTCTCGCGTTTGAGAATCGTCTGACCAGGCATGAGTATCGGGATTTTTGCCTGGCAGCTGGATCAGACGAGAAGGGTTGCAGCGGTTGACCTCAAAAAGGGGGGGCGCTGCTTGGGGGTCGTAGGTCGCCATGGCTGGCAAAGCAGACTTGGTCCAGCAGATCAAGAACATGCAGCGAGCCGACCCCACATTCAGACAAACTTGGTGGGACTTCTGTGAAGCGCAGCTCGGTGGTGTCCGTGACCCTAACAGGCACGACGAGAGCATCCTGGGCACCTTCTTGGAACAGTACAACAGCGGCGCCATTGCTCCGTCGCCTTTCCGCCCTGAAGAAGATTGGTGGAAGGGCAAGGGCAAGGGCAAGGGCATGAAAGGAGATTGGAAGGGAGACATGTCCTACAACATGATGCCCCCACCGGACATGTGGGGCATGCCCCCTGGCATGATGGGCGGAGGATTGCCTGACTTCGTGAAGACAGGTCAGAGATCGTCGTATCACTGGAGGAATGCTTGGAATCTTTATTGTGCCCTTTACGGAGCGGGTAAGAACGACCCGGCCAAGCATGACGAAACTTTCAGTCGTGGTTTTGTCGACTACATCGGCGAGCTTGCGGCAAATGGCCTCTCTTCCATCGCAGCTTCGCAGGGAATCAACCTCGAAGAGATTGCGCCGCCAAACAATGGGAAGGGCAGAGGACCTCCAAACGGAATGGAGCCAGCTCCAAAGAGATTCCGCTTTGAGGAGGCGGATGGTGCGAAGCTTGAGCTGGTAGAGAAAGTCAAGAACTTGCAGCGGTCCAATCCCCAGGCCAAAGAGGCTTGGTGGGTGTACTGCGATGGCCAGTGCGGAGGCATGCGGGACCCGTTGCGGCACGACACAGACTCTTTGCAGACATTCCTCGCCAGTCAAGGAGCTTTCTGATTTAGGTAGCACTTTGAATTGGCAACCTGCAAACCCCATGATACAGCGCCGCTTGAAGTGGATAGGAAAGGTATAAGGTTGCCGTTTTGACGGGGCGCAACATGGCGCAACGGATCGACGCGGCGAGACAAAGATGCATCGACAGTGTGTTCCCTTCTGTCCGTAAGTGAAGCGAAGTGAAGCGAAGTGAAGCGAAGTGAAGCGGAGTGAAGCGGAGGGGAGAGAGGTGGAGCAAATGCGTGCTCGGCTTCACAGGATGCAGCAGCCCCTCACCATCAAATACATCGATCCGCTTCTTAGCGGCAGAATGACACAAGGAGGTTTGTTGCAGGCCCAAGAACAGGAGAAGCTGATGAGGTTCTTGTTTTGAGGCAAGGCATGAGCCGAGGACTTACACCATCCGCGCCGTGCCCGCCAACACGAATGACAGTGTCGCATAGTTTGCACTGGAGACATTGTCAAACTGTGGGTTGCCCAATGTCTGCGAGGATATATTCGTTTACAACCCTGTCGCATGTGGCACATATCGTGCTGCTTTTGTCCGGTTCTCTTGTTAGTGCCAAATGTACCCATGGAACCGTGTGTCGCTGCGAAGGGAGGCCAACAAAATCAATCAGAGCCATTCAGAGCCATCAAGTGTGAGCACACCTGTTTTGGTTGCTGCTGTGAAACTGCCCAGGGCAAATTGAGCCGTCCAAGGTCTACTGCTCGGTGCTGGGAGCCCATGCTGTGCATGTGGCCATGGCAGGATACACAGGACAGCCTAGATCTTGGTGCACGGCCTGAAGCCCACATGTGCCAAGTTGCCTTTCGTCCCTGCATGGTGATCGGTGTGCACAGCTTTGCTCAGCTGGGCTGCAGGAGTTGTTGTCGGAAAGGTGGACGAACGTAGCCTGCCCCAATTTGGAAGAACCCCTCGTCGCAGCGATGTTGTTCGCTCTGCCGACAAGGTTTCGTCATGCTGCCGAACCATGCCATCACGAACGCTCCCCTCAGGCGGCAAGTTTGGTGTCGCGTAGAAGCTGGTTATTCCCGGTTGTGCTGATGGTAGAGGAGTTCTGAATGTCACATACACAGACACGTTGTGCGCGAATGGCTTGCCTTTCGGATTCGAGTGGCAACCTTCTTGAACTTTGCACGCGAGCTTGCGCATGCAAGAATGCACGAGGCGTGTAGAGCTCAAGAGCACGGTCTTCGAGCGGATGATGGCGACCACAGGTCAGCCCTCCTTGGCGCCGCTGGGCATTAACAATACTTTCAAGGAAGCTGTACCATCTGTGGAAGTCGATGTGCCATGCTCTTCCAGGCCTGGCCTTGGCGACGATTGGGCCTTGCTGCCGTCACCACCGTCAGAGCCCCTCATTGCTTGTGAGCAGCCCGCCAGTGGCTGGCAAGAAGTGCACAAAATTTGTGTGTGCACTTCTCCCCAAAGCTGCAAAAGTCAAGTTTTCAGGCCTCCAAAGCCACAAAAGCCGCCGGTAGAGCCGTCTGGGGGCCCAGTGTTGCACCTTCATGGCGGCGTGACGTGTTCTCAGGTGCATGGCCGACTGCATTGCATTTCGTGCTAAGTAGGCTAAGTAGAAGGTGCTGGTGTCATCAAGTTCCATTAGGCCAGCAATGCTCAGCTTCATGGAATGGAACGGCCTCAACGTGGAGGAGGACCACATGATGCAGTTGAATTCGGAGCATCTGCACACCGCCAACAGGTTTGCCAAGAGTATTCTTGTCACTTTGCTCTTCAGATGCAGTTCCAATGTGGATGGGAGGGCGCGTCTAATGCAGGAGGCTCTCGAAGAGGCAAGCGCGGAGATCAAGGACGTGCATGGCTCAGTATCATGGTAGGACCTCCAGAAACAAAAGGCATACCCATCACTGTGCATAATTCTTCAACATCTCGTGCTTCTCTGCCCAGACGTCGCGCTCCACGATTCAGAGCCCGATCGAGAGGTACAAGTTACAAGCTAAATTGTTCGTGGAGAGTTCGTTCTAGAATGTCGAAAGACATCATTTCATTGAGGGGTCACATCGCAAGCTCAGCCCCTTAAGTCAAACAGCGCCCCTTTAGTTTTTGAGGATGTTCTGGTGCAAGAAAAGACTATATCGCTCTAGGACGGTGAAACCAAGTTATTGCTGAAATGCAAGTCGCAGGTGCTGTTGGGTCACTATGATATTGAGCCCCCACCCGCAGCTCATGTTCCTGCAGTGAGCAGTTGCAATTTTCCAAAGTCAGGGCCTTATCGTTTTCCAAACGTGTTCAAAAACCGTTTTCTGTTTTCGGCATGGTGCAGCACGCACCTCTCCGCAATGTGCCTTTCTCAGCCTCACGTTTCTTCCTGCATGCAGGATTTTGGCGTCACATGTTACATAAAGATCCTCTCTCTCTCTCTCATTCATGGATTTGCCATCTTGCATTCAGTGAAAGCGCGGAGTGAGGTGACCCTGAAAACGTTCGATGGCTTCGGCGCCTTTCCCTCAGAATGTACTGGGGTTTGCATTGGGCCCCCCCATGGAGTTCCGCGACCTCAGGAGATGAAGGATTCCAGGCTGCTCCAGCGCAGTGACCTCTTGAAGAGCCACGACGAGGTGTGGGATGCGACTGTGGCATCTCAAGTAGCCGTTTCTTTATTTCCGCTTTGTCTCGGCTCCCATGGTGCCTCTTGCTCACTCGGTCTCCTTTGCGCAAAGTGGCATGCCGTGCAGGTGAGGAAGCTCGAGATCATGCGTCTGAGTCTGGAGCCCAGTCGTAAGTCTGATGCCAAAGTGCTCTACAGTCCCTTTGTCGCTTCGGCCTGGTGCCTGTTCAGGTGACAACTTCCCCTCTGCAGAGGCTGTCAGCTGCACACTTGTCATCATTGTTTGAGGTGGCGTTCTTGCTGCGCACGGCTACTAGAGTTGCAGTGAGGGAAATGAGGGAGAAGTAGCAGCTCAGCGCAGGCTTCGTCGCCATTGAATCCATCAGCAGGGTTCATGGACCACGAGACCTGGACGGCCAACAGCCGAGAATGTTCCAGTTACAGGATGTTCCGGGGCACGTGGCTGCAATTCGTGAACCAACAAATCCGAGACGCGAGCGGATCATGGCAGTTCTCTTGGGCAGAGTGTCACGGCCGTAAGATGTGCAGGTTGAGGCGGTCTCAAGTGCGGTGAGGGTGGACTCAGGCCGGATCTGACCGCATGGTGCAGAAGTAAATTAACCGCTAAGGCGAGGCCGCCGGTAAGGGTACCAAACCGAGTTCAGGGTTCACTAGGGGCCACAGGCTTCAGGGGCGCTTGAAAGTGGCCCCGCCAGCAGGCGGGGTTTGTGGGGGAGGGATGGTGTGGGGGGCTGGGTAAAGGAGGTGGGTGAGGGGGGATGAGTGTTGGGGAAGAGGGGGAGGGGGGGTTCCCTAGACTCCTAGACCTTGATCCAAACGCCTCAGGCCTCCGGCCTCGGCAGATAGAGACGAGTTTCGTGCCCAAGGCAGCAACTCCCGTAAAGCCCTGCAGAGAGCGCAAACATGGGCTGGTACTAGTACAATCTTGGGCATGCAGGCAGGTCAGCACTTCGCAGAGCCCGTAAGCCCTGGCCCATACCAGTCCCGTCGAGCTGTACACCATTACAAACAATCGATTCGCAGAAGTGAGCAGGTTTGTAGATTGAAGCCACGCATCTTCTAGGCTGTGCTTTCTTTGTTTGGTAGCGTGATCTGCTGCACACTTGCTATTGTACTACGTTCGATTATTTCCTCTGCTGCTACTCTCATCTACTACTATTACTACTACTACTACTACTACTACAACTACTACTACTACTACTACTACTACTACTACTACTACTACTACTACTACTACTACTACTACTACTACTACTACTACTACTACTACTACTCTGTCGTAAATACCGAGGCTTTAGCATTTCATGTGCACGCAACACTGCAAATAGCGATGTACGTTTGCCGTGTCCATTCGCACGCAACGAAGCCAGGAAGTGTCGTAAACACCGATGTTTTAGGCATAGGACGCTAAGAAAGTACCAGGCGCCACGGGGCACCACTACCACCACCACCACCACCACCACTACTACTACCACTACTACTACTACTACTACTACTACTACTACTACTACTACTACTACTACTACTACTACTACTACTACTAACTACTACTACTAACTACTACTACTTCTACTACTACTACTACTACTACTACTACTACTACTACTACTACTACGAGCTTCTGATTAGTGGGTGGGGGCCCCCCCCCCCCCCCTCACAATAAGGAATGCAGGGTTCCGCAATAGTTGGACCGTGGCCCTGTATTGATTCTCTATTAAAAACAATACGATGCAGATCCCTGAGGTGCTGTAGCTTTGCGTCTCCGCAAGCAAAACAAGAAGCCTGCCGACAGATTTTTGAACCCACCCAAAAAAAATTCCTTTAAATGTGGGGGGTTTGTCCCATACGAAATCCACCCTAATGGAAAGTAGTCTTCCGGCGGGCTTCCGGCCAAAAAAAGTTTCTTTAAATGTGGGGGTATTAATTAATCAGATGCTCGGATTACTACCACCACCACCACGACGACGACGACGACTACTACTACTACTACTACTACTACTACTACTACTACGACTACTACGACTACTACCACTACGACTACTACTACGACCACTACTACTATTAATAAAAATATTACTACTACTACTACTACTACTACTACTACTACTACTCCTACTCCTACTCCCACTACTCCGAGTATTCCTACTATTCCTATTACTACTACTACTACTACTGCTGCTGCTACTACTGCTACTTCTACCACTACTACTACTACTACTACTACTGCTACTACTACTATTGCTACTGCTACTGGTACTACTGCTACTGCTACTACTACTACTACTACTACTACTACTACTACTACTACTACTACTACTACTACTAGTAGCTCTACCACTACCACTACCACTACCACTACCACTACCACTACCACTACCACTACCACTACCACTACCACTACCACTACCACTACCACTACCACCGCTACTACTACTCCTACTGCTACTGCTACTGCACTCCGACTGCTACTGCTACTGCTACTGCTACTGCTACTGCTACTGCTACTGCTACTGCTACTGCTACTGCTACTGCTACTGCTACTGCTACTGCTACTGCTACTGCTACCACCACTACTAGTAGTAGTACAAGTACTAGTATTAGGCTCCATCACCCTCGTTTGCCGCAGTGTTTCGTGCGCATGACATGCCGAAAGCATTGGTATTTATGGACACTTCGTGGCTTCGTTGCGTGCGAATGAATTGCCAGACCATGTCCGCATGATGATAACGTCCGTGCTAAGCCTGCATGCGAATGGCCAGAGCGTCCATGTCTGTGCGATGATAATGCCGTGTTTCCAGAGCATCCATGTCCGCACGATGATAACATCCGTGTTACCGTTCTTTGCAGTGTTTCACGCGCATGACATGTCTAAAGCATCGGTATTTACGACATTTCGTGCCAAACCAAGCCTTCGTGGACGCTACGTGGCTGGACATGCCGGAGCCGTGAGTTTGAAAAAACCAAAAATTATGACTGCAAAAATGCCGAGTTTCTCTTTTTTAACAAAATTACCAAAGTCTACTTTGCGATTAGGACCCTTTTTAACCCTTCCACATACTCACTCGCAGCAACATGTAGCCAACACCTAGGCGAGAGTACAATTTTGGCATCTTCTGAAGTGTGGCAACATTGCCAGCATTTGATGCCGCTGACGGCGCAAACGAGGTCATCATGCCTAGTACTAGTACTAGCACTACTACTACCGACGACGACGACTACTACTACCAACAAGAACTTTGTTTGTGCTTGCCAGTCTACTTTCTTGTCATTATTATCATGGTTGTAACAATCAGTATGCCATCAGTATTTGTTTTGTTATTGTTTCCTATTATATTCACATTGTTCCACCTACCATAGTCCATTGACATGCGGACAAGGGGTTCGGATGTGACAGATGTTAACAGCGAATGTCATGTTATATAATTCGATGGGCAAAAGTGCTACGCCACGTACTCTGATCTCGTTCGTTCGCGCATTGCTGGGGCGGCAACATGGCTGATGCCAAATCTTTTGGTATGCCCTGCTGGCAGGTGACGGGCGACCGTACTACCAGTTGTCGCGTGCTCACGGGCTCGATGACTCGATGCCAGCAAAGCTATTTGGATCTCCCATGAATGTGACTTCGTCCATGTCTTGAGGATGAGGGCCGGACCACGAGAAAAGCTGCATTTCAACCCACAGGCCAAGTGCCAAGGGATGGGACCTGCACAATGCGAATTCCGAACCAGAACTCTTCAGCCTGAAACCTGTAAGTGGTCTTGTATGGGCAGGGCTGGACATCATTGTAGGACATCGTGCGGTCTGCTAGACCTGCATGCACTGGGCTTTCACAGGACGCTATGTGTTGCGCTGCCATCGTTTGTTGTGGTGGCCTGTGTCCGGGCGAGAACGTGGCCATTCGTCTGCCCCCCAGAAATTGGAGCATGGCGGATAGGTTTGTATTCTGAGTATGTCTTGCGCATCAAAATAAAACAGCAGACCTGGAAAAGTGCGTGCATCTCCGCAGCTTTCTTGGACCTAGCGGCTGCGAGAGCCGTAATGCGCTTCGAGCCCACTTTGAAGCCACTTTGAGCATGATTCGGCTCCTACTTGCAAGCCATCTTGCAGTGCCTTGGATTGACTGCAAGGTCCTCTTGGTAGCTCTTGGTGTGGAGGTCTGCATCAGTAAGAGAAAGCCGTGCCTCTCACAGGTTGCATTGGGTATGAAGTGCCCGGGCTCCTCGGCCTTCGTCCACGCTTCTGCTGAGGCCGCGGTCCGCTGTCAGTCGCGTGCTTTCACCGAAGCTGCAAATTTGTAAGGAGTTAAAAGTCCAGGTGGTGGCAATCGCTGATGCGAGCTGCGCGGACGTTCAGCAGGAGATGCTAGCACGCGTGCAATCACCTTCCTGGCAAGACCCGCACAATGCAGGCGAGGGTGCACATGCACAAGGGTTGCTTTTTGTTTCACTTTGGTATGCAATTTGTTGAAGCTTTCCTTGTGAGGAACTTACAAGGTGTTGCCCAGCAAGTCCAGCAGTCAGCTCGACGCCTGCCCAGCCGTATGCACCGGATGGGCCAGAACCTGTCATGGCTCGGCTGTAGAGCGGCCGAGGAGTTCTCCCGACTTACGGGCGACAAGAAGTACACAGACAAGATGACCATCACCCTTGCTGATACGAACGGGAAGTGCATGTGCCTGGGTGCCTGATCCGGTGGTGCACCAGATGAAGTGCGATAGCTCGTGTCGTAGCACGAAATCTTCGCCTAGAGTTTTGGGATGTTCGGAGTCTCTTAGTTTGCATGCTCAGAACGAGGCAGCATGCGTTTTTCAGATGCCCCAGCAATCAGCCAATGAACTGGCATGTGTTTTCAGCCCCAACAGTGTCCTGTTTATTTCGTCCCTCCCCCAACCAGCCAGATAAAGCAGTGGCATTTTTCAAGCCCAGGTGCCATCAGTGCCATGTAGAGGTGGCCTGTTTCAGTAGCACTTCGTTCTTGGACTGACCCCAGTGGTTGCTGCAACCATATCGGCCGCTGCAGCACAAATGCCCGGAGAATGAAGGAGAAGCTGGAAACAGTGCGTTGATGATGATGACGATGATGACGATGATGATGACGATGATGCTGATGATGATTCGCATGTGTATTTCCAAAAGGCAGGTAGCAGGCGTTTGTCAAGCAAGAGTTTCTTTTTGGCGACTCGCTTGCCAGGCCCCTAGAGGCACAGAGAAACGAGCCACCGCTTTTCGGGGATCTTGTCCTTTGTTTGCGTTGGTATAGGGTTGGCCGCTCTGTTTGAAGAAGTATGTCATCCAAGCCACCCCCCCCCCCCCTCCAAACCCCCCCCATCGCATCGTAGCGTAAAGTGGCTCAGAGCCAAGGATTATGGGATGTTCGGAGTCCCAAGTCTTCTCGATCTTTGATTTCAGCACGAACTACTGCAACCTGCGGACTGAGAAGTGCGTTGAAAGAATGCCTTGAAAGGATGCCTTTGTTGTGCTTTGGTCTGCTCTTGCGTGTACCACCATCGCCGCCAGGAACCTTTACTGTGGCTCAGCAGATGGATGCGAGCCTGTGCACCTGGGGCAGAATCGTGCACACATCATGTTTCCACATCCTTACATCCTTAGTCGGAGTCGGAGCTGAGGAAACACAGCTTCAAGGCAACTGAGTCGACAGTGACACCGTCCTTGGGCGCAGGGTCAGATGCCAAAAGTTGCATCACGACGTAA